CAGGTTACTACTAACATATATAATCCCAAAAAGCTTAACGGTTGGGTATTGGAGACTGAGAATACGAATAAGATTTGGAATTATCGTCATACTAGTAACCATAGCGTGTCGTTATGATTGCCGTCGTAATTTGCAAACCTCAATCCGCGAAACCTGCATTGTACTGGCCTGTCTTTCCGCGCACTGCCTCTCCATTACCCGATGCAATGGGATGGGGTCCACTCCCTTTACAGGGTGAGTACCAGTGGTTCGCTATTGAATCTGTGCTCCACGCACGGGGCATATTGTAGGGGCCCTGAAAATCAAAGTAAGGCTTTGGGGAAAGTATTGGTAATATTTTCGGCCCCTCAACAATTATGTAATGCCTTTTGCGGTGGGACAAACTCAGGTTTTCGGGTTTAAGTTTAAGGGTTCAAAACCCGTGTAGAGGCTGAACTGCAATCACTGAACTTCTAAACACCAGGAACCACACCGATGAACCGTTGCCATCTGGGTAGGGTTGCTCTCAACAAATGATTCCTGATGGGAAACTTGCAGAAAACGTAACCCACCACTTCCATACATGCAGGCATCATGTTTTGACGTGCATTCAGACAATTTCAACGCGGGCAGCATTCCAAAGGTGTCGTTTCACAGACCGGTCTACAGACAGGCACTGTTTCAATGCTTTTAGCCGAGAAAAAACCCCAACTAAGGCCCTTATAACCCTGTAATTAACCTCCAGGTACATCTCAAATGTGAGCCCCTGGCCTCCCTCAGTCATGAGTAGGGTAACTATGCTTATAACCCATATTAGGGACCTACAACCCCACTTATAACTACCCATGAACCTCCAAGTGCGGAGCTGCTAAGCATCTGGGAACCATACCGCAAAAGGAGGACACGACACAGATCTTGGTCCCGAGTCCCGAGATGGACAGAACGTTCCAGCTGCAGGGGTGGTTTAGGGCTTAGGGTTTTAGGGCTTAGGGTTTAGGGTTTCCACGTTGAAATGAGGGTTTAGGGTTTAGGGCAGTATAGCAGCCTTCGTACTTGGACTAGGGTTCCTATACATGCTTCTATGAAGGTTTGTTTGAGGGTTACTATATAGCTTACTATAGTTACTACAGGGGCTTCGCAATTAGAACAGGGTTCCTCTCGAGGGCTCTGTCACGGTTCCTTTGAAGGTTACTATATAGGCCACCATAGTTACTAAAGGGGCTTTGTATGATTAGCAGCCTTCGCAGTTGGAATAAGGTACAACTATGGAGATTGTCGGGGCTTGGTAAAGTAGCCTTCGCAATTAGAACAGGGTCCTTTTCAAGAGTTCTACAAAGGTTCCCGTAAGGACTGCAGTAGCCTTCGTAATTGGAATAAGGCTCCGCTGGAGGGCTCAAGAGAGGTTCTTTCCTGGGGTACTACCCGGGCCTTGGCCACGGTTAAGGGTTTAGGGGTCTAGGGTCTAGACCTAAGAGTAACCTTGAACCCTTAAAAAAGTGAATAAGGACATACTCTGGGTCCTAGTTTCATGGGTTGCTATTCGGGCTTTGGGGGTTTAGTATAGCAGCCTTCGTGTGATTCATTGAGTTTGCCAAGTAAGACAACAGCCTTTGTTAACAAAAAACCTGCGAAAAGAAACGCATGAAGGCCCTTTCCTTTTCTACCAGGAGCAAGAAGACAAGCGAGCTAGTACAGTCTTTCAGAGGGCACTAGGACCGCTCCTCCATGAAGATGTAAGCTCCTTTATGCCTGAGGATGCGACAGCCCGTTGAGATTTCAGTAACCCCAAGCGTCCAAAGGACCCAAGATTTAGGTACTCGGCTTTAGTTTAGGATAGTAGTTACGTAGGTTAGGATTTGGGTCAGTGTATGAGTATTAAGTACTTGGACCCTTGGGGTAATATGAACAGTATGCTTTTCGTCGGATATGGAACAGGTAGGTAGTTCCAGAATGGTAGCACATAATACGTTATGAACTTGTCGGAGTTGCAAGCAACACAGATCGTTCTTGTGACAGGACACCATAGGGCTTATCTATCCCGTCACGAGAGCGAAAAAAGAAAACTCTCTGCCTTTCCACATTGAGACAACACAAAGGAATCCTTCTGGCAATTAACGTAGCTCTGCACTGTTCTAGTCATTCTAGCACTGCCTGCTAGGAACGCAACGGTCGTATTCCAGCAGGGGTCGTCAGACCCCCCCCTGCAGCAAATGGTGTCTGCTTTGGTCTCAGAATGCCTAGAGGAGCCCAGGGGTGCACTCGAGGTCGTGTCCGCCCCTAGGACAACTGCTTGAAAATCTAAGCATCCAAGGCCAAGGATTGAGTCTGCCTTTCCGGCAGGTAGCACGCCCTCTGCTACCAGGGAAACCTTCCACCAGAGGGGGCCTAAGTCCCTAAATGCAATCTTCTTCTGGCTCACACCACCTGTGCTTCGTTGACTGCGGATCCGCACCTGAAGGGGTCGGGGGGGATGACGAGGAAAGCCCGACGATGGCAAGTAATCGAGAGGCCTTAACAAGTAGAACTGGGTTTTGGGGCATGCTATGCTGATTATACTTAGGCATAGACGCGAACCCAAAGGAATAATATTGCTAATTATTCAGGCTGCTAGATTACATATGCGACTGTTTATAACCAGCGGACGCACTAGCTGTATCGGTCGCAGCGATAGTGGTCGCAGTCTTCATCACGTAATGTAAGTGTAGTGGTAGGTGTAGTAGTAGTAGTAGTCGTCGTCGTAGCAGCAGTAGTAGTAGTAGTAGTAGTAGTAGTAGTCGTAGTAGTAGTAGTAGTAGTAGTAGTAGTAGTACTAGTACTAGTAGTAGTAGTGGTAGTAGTGGTAGTAGTAGTGGTAGTAGTAGTGGTAGTAGTAGTAGTAGTAGTAGTCGTAGTAGTAGTAGTAGTAGTAGTAGTAGTAGTAGTACTAGTAGTAGTAGTAGTAGTAGTAGTAGTAGTAGTAGTAGGTCGTAGTAGCAGCAGTAGCCGTAGCAGTAGCAGTCGCAGTAGCACTAGCAGTAGCAGTAGCAGTAGTGGTAGCAGTAGCAGTAGCAGTAGCAGTAGCAGTAGCAGTAGCAGTCGCAGTAGTAGTCGTAGTGGTGGTAGTGGGAGTAGTAGTGGTAGTAGCAGGCGGGGTAGTAGTAGTAGTAGCAGCAGCAGCAGCAGCAGGAGTAGTAGTAGTAGTAGCAGCAGCAGCAGTAGTAGTAGTAGTTAGCAGGTAGCAGCAGTAGTAGTAGTAGTAGTAGTAGTAGTAGTAGTAGTAGTAGTAGTAGTAGTCGTAGTAGTAGTAGTAGTAGTAGTAGTAGTTAGCAGTAGTGGCAGTAGTAGTAGCAGTAGAAGTAGTAGTAGTAGTAGTAGCAGTAGCAGTAGCAGTAGCAGCAGCAGTAGCAGTAGTAGCATTAGTAGAAGTAGTAAGTAGTAGTGGTAGTAGTAGTCGTAGTGGTAGGAGAAGCAGCAGGAGGAAAAGTAGCAGTAGCGGTGGCAGTAGGAGTACGAGTAGCAGCAGCAGAAGTCGTCGTAGTAGTAGTAGTAGTAGTAGTGTTTAAGTAAGTAGCAAGTCGTAAGTAGCAAGTAGTCAGTAGTAAGTAGTAGTAGGTAGTAGGTTAGTAGGCAGTAAGAAGTAGGTAGTAAGTAGTACATAGCAAGTGGCAAGTACTAAGTAGCAAGGGTACGTGGCAGATTGCAATTAGCAGTAGCCGTAGCCGCAAGTAGCCGCATCAGTAGTAGTAGCAGTAGTAGTAGTAGTAGTAGTAGTAGTAGTAGTAGTAGTAGTAGTAGCAGTAGCAGTAGCAGTAGCAGTCGCAGTAGTAGTCGTAGTGGTGGTAGTGGGAGTAGTAGTGGTAGTAGCAGGCGGAGTCGTAGTAGTAGTAGCAGCAGCAGCAGGAGTAGTAGTAGTAGTAGTAGTAGTAGTAGCAGCAGTAGTAGTAGTAGTAGTAGTAGTAGTAGTAGTAATAGTAGTAGTACAGTAGTAGTAGTAGTACAGTAGTAGTAGTAGTAGTAGTAGTAGTAGTAGTAGTAGTAGTAGTAGTAGTAGTAGTAGTAGTAGTAGCAATCAGCAGCAGTAGCAGCAGCCGCAGAAGGAGCAACAGCAGCAGCAAGCAGCAGCAGCAGCAGCAGCAGCAGCAGCAGCAGCAGCAGCAGCAGCAGCAGCAGCAGGCTGAGTAGGCTGATCAGGAAGATGCAAAACGGACAATGAGCATCCTAAGCAACCCGAATCAATACAGATTGCATTCATGGATACCAGTCATAGCTCATCATGATGACTGCTGTGGCTGCTACTCAGCCTCCGGAGAACGATGATTCCGGGGTTGATGCCTAAGCGCGTTCAAGATGCTAGTTCGGTGATGCAGTGACAATACACCCAAGATCCAAAATCAAAAGGCCCAAATAGCCCGATCGCGCTCAAACCAGCTATAATATTCATTAAGGCTCGTAAGACTTGAATACAGTCTTATATAAGGAGCCTTTGGCGCTCTGCGCACGCTACTGCCGTAAGCCGAACCCTAAGCCCGTTCAATCCTGGTCTGACGCTCTTGCAGCAATCAGAACAACGTTCCAAGCTATCCTATACCGTTAAGGGATCTATTGGGTTTCTATAAGGGATCTATAGGGTTTAGGGTTTAGGGGAGTTTCCGAAAGTTAGGGGTACCTTATTTGGGGGTCCCTGTAATAAGGATCCTACTACTTAGGGTACTATATTAGGGTCCCCTATTTTCGGAAAGTCCGGCATAGAGAGTATCAGGGATTTTGCGCCGGTTTGGAAATCTCCTATGATAATGTCGCTACACAGAGAGAGTATCAGGGGATGCGACCCCGGTTTGGGGGGTATCTTACACTAGAGCTATGCAGTGAGCGGCAGGGGATGCTGCTCCTATCCCCCCCTCACGAACACTAACCCCCAAAAACTCTACACCCTAAACCTTTAAACCCTCAAACCCTAAACCCTAAAACCATGAACCCTAAATCTTTTAAACCCTCATGCCCTAAACCCTCACCCCTAACTCGTGCGCGAATCTTCAGAGCCTTCATGATGCTGCGAGAGCCTCCTCAGCTGGTGTGATGCCTGGGCTTTGAAGTAGCCAGGGAGGAGAAAAGTATAGACGTTTACAACAGAAGCCCAAAAGTTGGAAACCCAAGAGCCTCCATCCTTAAGAGTACTGTATAGGGAATCCCAGCACTATTTGGCCTTAATCCAGTTTCTATCTTTATGGGGTTTAGTGTAAGCTTGTTGAATACTGTTCCCCTTTAAGTCGCAGGCTCCCCGACAAGTAGTAAAGTAGCTAGAGGGTCATACCCAGCCCCCTTTTTTCAGGTACCTGGTTTTATGGTTACGGTATGAGCATATGAAGTATGGTCACGTAGGAACCTGATTAAGAAACCTTGGCCCTTTGTTGGGGTTCCTTCTATGAATCCTAGTCTTCTTGGTGTAAAAGGCCCAGGGTTTCTGAATCAGGTTCCTACATTCAGCAAAGGACCCTCAACCCTAAAAGTGATCTCTAAAGTAATGGTACTCCAAAGCCCAGATGCTGACAAGGTTGGCCAGCTTCAAGCCTTCGGCCTCGGTCTTGACAGTGTGGGATTCAGGGTTCAGGCTTTAGGGCTTTAGGGTTTAGTGGTTTAGGGTTTAGGGCTTAAGGTTTTAGGGTTTAGGGTTTTAGGGTTTAGGGTTTATGGTGGGATTTGATTTAGGGCTTTGGGGTTTCATGTCCGTTTGGTGACGTTTCAGTCTGTGGGCTTATGTCTGTGACAAGCTCTGCGTCTTGTGGGCGTCGGCGGCCGCTCTACTAAGATCACTGAAACTGGTTCGAACTAAATCCCGTCTTCTGCCCACAGAACCGCAACTACCAGAAGTTCAGGCAAAGGCACAGGCACGGGTGAAAGAATTAGGACGTTTGCGGGCGTACCTGTAACCCGAAAAACCTATCGAACGGACTTCCCAGAGACTCCAATATCCCTTAATTAAGGAATATACCTTAAATTATAATAGGATCCCTAATATGATTTAAGAAATATTCATTAATTAAGGGATATTGGAGTCTCTGTGTTCATGAGGAAACCACAACAATGAAACCTAGAATACCCGGGATGCCCTGAACCCCAAACACCAGACCCCAACAGCCTCAACCCAAGCCTCTGAACGCATTATTCTCTTCATGTCCAAGCCCCTCAATTGCAGAACCCTTGGCGGATTCTGTATAGATCCCTTCCCAACGTGAGGCCAACGCAGTTGTAATGCAACCGATAATCTACTGAACCTTCGAGTAGTGCCAGTAAAGAAAACACCTCCAAGCAGCACGACAAATCAATAATAGCATCCCGACCATGGCTACCATGAGCTGCGATGTGTACAATTTGTTTACTCGAAATCGAACTGCCAGTGCTGGGACGAACACTCACCGTCGTCTTCGTGGTAACAGGTGGCACTGGTCGTCATCATCGTTGTCGTCGTCGTTATCGTGATCTTTGTCGTAGTCATTAACATCGTGGAGGTGGGAACGCCGTTACCGTTGCTGCTGCTACAACCCCGACGCTGACAAGGACGACTCCAGCACCCCAACTCAAGAAGTGAAAACCCTGGACCGTAGGACTAGTGTGCTCCATTCGCAGCCCGTGAGGCCGTATTGCTCCTCGCAAGAGGATGAGAAGCACCTCGGTGAACCCAGAAAGCCCCCTTCCTGAAAAACATCCCGCAGACGTAAGGCATCGTATCTATCTGTATCTATCTATCTACCCATCTGTCTGTCTAGTTATCAACCCTTCTGTACATATGGTTATATCATACATGCATATAGCGAAATATGTAACGTAAGGACGGAACCATCTAATCTATGTATATATATATACACACATAAGTTTAAGGTAGCCTCATGTTTGAAGACTGAAGGCGTATTGGGCTCTTTAAAAAGCCCGGAGTCTTGGGACTTTGTGGGAACCTCCGACACCATCTTTGCAGCTTTTCTTGTTGCCTACTGCTACGGGCCTTAATGATTAGAATAGGGTTCCCTCAAAGGGTCCTGAAAGGGCTACTATAGGGGGCAGTTTTATATTGACACAGGAGCCTTAATCATTAGAATAGGGTTCCTCTAAAAGGGTCCTGAAAGGGCGACTATAAGGGTTAGTATAAGGATACTATAGTATTAGTATAGGAGACTTAATATTCAGAATAGCGTTTTGGTGCCAATTATACAACTATCATAACGAACCCCCAAAATAGAAATTGGCGAGTCTTGAGTACAGAAGAAGTCGTGAAGACCATTCCGAAACCGAGGTTGACTCTGGACTTCGGGACCAAACTTCATCAGGGTTGAGGACAATAATGCCGTATCGTATTCTACAATAGAACATGGCAGAACGAACACAGTCAGAATGAAATGCAAAAGAATAACATAGCATAGAACACTACCATATGACATAGCATAACATGTAATATCGTATACCACTATGATATAAATAAAATATGATACGTACTTGTCTATACAAAACATGAGAACAGTAACCTAAACCTCCAGTCAAGAATGTCAAGAAAAGAACCTGCCTCCCGGGAAGCTTCCTTATAAAACGCAAGAACCGAATCTAGCCGCTTGAGTCAATGAACCAGCTTGCGCTGCAAAGCCTGGATGTTTTGCAGCCACAATCCCATGTTGGTCTGAGCAAGCCAAACAAGAGAATTAGAATCGGGTTTTGGGGCCCATTATGCTATAACTATCATAGGGAACCCCCCCAAAGCAGGATTGGAAATTATCAAGGCTCCTATATTCCTGAATCCCTTATAATCGCCCTTAGGCCCTTATAGTATCCTTTTAAAGAGCCCTTTAAAGCAACCCTACAGGTAATTGCCCCTTTTTTACGTACGACAGGCCCTTTCTCGCAGAAGCCGAAATGCAGGGTTCAAGCCAAGCCGCTTTCATCGTCGTCCAGAGTTTTGAGCGCGAGATCGGTAATGGGCATTCCCTCGTTGTAGTGAATGTTGAGCCTGAAGAAACTGTAGGAGCTACTACTTGTGAACTATGCTACTATTTGCTTAAGAACCCCAGAAAATAAAAAACAAAATATTCCTTATGGGTGTAATATAGGGATTTTTTTTTTTTGGGGGGGGGTTCTTAAGCAAATAGTAGTATGGGATCCCGTAAATGTATTTATGCCTGCTCTCCGTATCGTTTATGCCTTGACTCACGTCTTACTCGACTGCTTTCTAAGTTTAGGCACGCTCATGGAAGCGAAGGCTTCAGGATTTGATGCTAGTAGTAATAGGAGGCAGATACCCAGAGAGCCCAATACCCCTAGGTTAAGCGATATACCTTAAACTATAATATAAAGGGGCTCATATTATGATTTAGGCTAAACCCCTAACCCCTAAACCCCTAAACCCTAAACCCCTAAAGCCTAAATCCTAAACCCTCGCGGGATTCGGCTCTCCGTGCCTCCAGTGCCCTTAAAGCGCTAGAAAGCACCGCGACCGTTCCGCGAGAATCCCAAGGAAGCGGGTAGTAAGGTGCTTGCTACCGGGGCCGTAATAATTCACTGGCATAGGGTTTTGGGGTCCATTTCACTAGAATTATAGGGAGGAGCCCCGAAGATAATGTAGGTAATTGTTTAGGCCCCTATATTACGCTGCTTGCATCGTAAGCTATCATAAGGCTCCAATTTCCTGGGGGTTTAGGTTCGCGGGTATCTCGGACTCAGACTTTGTGGATCGCAGCTTAGGATTGGATCAGTTTAGTTTGAAGGGTATATGTTAGAGGGGGCCCCCACCCTGTAATAGTGACCATAAGGATTATATAGGATTATATTAGGGCCCTATTATTGTCCTATTATACCACTATTACAGGGTGGGGGCAGCTTCTAAGGTATATGCCTTGGCTCCAAGATTTAAACCCCTAAACCCTAAACCCCAAACCTTCGGTAGCATTGGGGTCTCAGTGCAGGGGTAGCTCGGGCTTGCAAAGGACGAAGCCTACTTGGAGGATCATGGGACTTAGTAAGTAAGGTTACAAGTACCTTAATTGGTGTTATAAGTAGTTGTAAGTATCGTAACCTTAGTTATAACCCTAGTTACTAAGTCCCGTGACCCATATAGAACCCTTAATAGTAACCCTCAAAGATCCCTTTATAGGAACCCTTTAAGGGAACCCTAGTTACTAAGTCCCATGATCCTTTATGTAACCCTAAAACCCATATACAGAGCCCTTAATATAGATCCCTTATAGGGACCCTTTAAGGGAACCCTAGTTACTAGGCCCCAGGAATCCTCTAAGTAGGGTGAGTGGTTGGGACCCAGATCCTCCAAAACCCCTTAACCAAGGAATGTACCTTAAATCATACTAGGATCCCTAATATAGTTTAAGGTATATTCCTTAATTAAGGGGTTTTGGAGGCTCTGGGGAGGGGGGGGTTCAGGCTTCAGGAGGGCTTGGGTCTAAGGGGACTTAAGGGCCTAGGGTTTAGGGTGTAGGGTTGAGGTATTTTGGGTTTAGGGGTTAGGGCTTTCTTGTTTTTTAGGGTTTAGGGTTTAGGGTTTAGGGTTGAGGACATTTAGGGTTTAGGGGCTAGGGCTTTAGGGTTTAGGGTTTAGGGGTTTAGGGTTTATGGCGTAGCAGCTGAATCACTGAATCGAGCTAAGATCGGACTTAGCGCCATGTGTACTATAGGTAACACATGACCTACAGAATCGCAGAACCAGTGAGAAAGTAGCACACCCCGACCTCATGGAATCCGGAAGCCGGCTACCTGAATCCAAACACCACCGCAACTGTTGTAGGGGCCTTGATCATTAAAATGGGGTTTTGGGGTATGTTATACGAAAACTGCAAGAAGGACCCTAAACCCTAAACCCTAATTGGGCAAGCTGCGTTTCAAGAAAGAAGCGCGAGTACAGGATCAATTCAAGGAGGCAGTTGGGATACTGCAGCCTCGGCTTGCTGCACTAGCAGCGCAGAGACACGCAACAGAGTAACCTAGGAACACACCCTTAAACCCTAAACCCTAAACCCTTTTTGGGTTAAAGGGGGTATAAGGGAACCTGAACCTTCGAAAAGGGAATAAGGGCCTACTCTCTGTCCCGGTAGGCAACCCCAAAAGCCCACACTCAACCGTTAGGGCCCAAAAGGACCCCAAAATCAGGTACTTGGGTTTACATGTGGGAGAGTATCCCAGAGGTTCCATACACACTACTACTTTGGAATTAGGTCCCCAACACCATAATGGGGATGGTCTTTCAGGGCCTATAATTCCATAATTGTAGTGTATATGGACCCTCTGGGTATATGATTATATACTAGGTCCTTGGACACATAGGGCAACAACAAGAACCCTAAACCCTGAACCCTAAACCCTAAACCCTATACCCTAAACCCTAAACCCTAAACCCTAAACCCTATACCCTAAACCCTAAACCCTAAACCCTAAACCCTAGAACCCACATGCCCGAAAGCATTCCAGACATTCCGCCCCGGGTCAACCCTAAAGAGACCCTCCATGGCTTGACGGGTTCTCTTTGGGGAAAGCCCCGGTGCCTTTAAAGGGATCTATAAGGGTTCCTTTAAGGGTTCCTATAAGGGATCTATACGGTTTGAGGTTAGGGTTTGGGAGCTTGCGAAAATCGGGGGGGTTGGTACCTTACTTTGGGGTCCTAATACAAAGGATCCTACTATTTTCGGAAACTGCCATATATCCTATCAACCCTCGACACACATCGCGATGTGCGGCATTCAAGAAGCAGCAGTTCGTCACAGCTGGCCACACTGCGCAGTACGTCTTAAAGCTTTCCGGCATTGTAGGCTTTAGGGCTTTGACTTAAGGTGTTGGATCTAGGGCTGAGGTCCTGGCATCTCGGTACAAAGGCTGGGGGGGAGCAGCAGCAGTAGTAGTAGTCGCCTTAATTATCGCCAAAATGGTGCAACCCACCCGACTATAGTACATCTTAGCTACAGTATAATATACCATATGATCTACTAAAAGAGGTTTACATGTATATGTATTTATCCAGACATCTACATACCTGGCCTGTAAAACAACAGAAGTATACTACTGAGTTGTTCTTTAATTTAAGGTCTCTGACCATTATTTACTATTATGGTTCTCTACAAAATAGCAGGGGAAAAAAAAGAGATCCCAAAGGACAACCAGACTCTATCGGGTGCCAGTCTGGAAACTGGGTATCCGGCTAAGAGGAGGGTTTCGGGTTTAGGGTTCAGGGTTTAGGGTTCTAGGGACTAAGACTTCATGGGTTAAGGTTCAGGCTTCAAGATGTAGGGAATCAAATTAGGGTTTAGGGGTAGCTTGGGTCCAGGGTCGGGGGTGTAGTTTAGGGTTCGGGCTTCCAGATGTGTGAATTGAGGTTTAGGTCGCGAGGTCCAAGGTCAAGGAGAGGCATAGAATCGGCATAGAAGACTGGATCTCGCCCTTGGGCTCTTGTTAAGGAACTTAACGGAGTTGTCCTTTAAGCCCGTTGAAAATTATGTACTATTATGGTTCTCTACAAAATAGTAGGGCAAATGAAAAACAGATCCCAAAGGACAACCCAGCTAGCTTAAATTAAGTTACCGTAATAGGGATCTATAGAAATAAGAGGGTTTCTGTATAATGGTAACTTGAATTCCTTAACCTCGCTGGCCCAAAACCCAAGGGAATGACAGTTGAAACTTTCAGAATCGACTACCTTATAGGAACCCCAGAAGTTGAAAAGTTGAGTTTACAGCCAACTAGTAACAAGAACCCAGGCCTCTCTGCAGCCGGGTCACATCACAGTATTAACGCCCTGGCATGTCGAATCTTCGGGGGCCCTGTTAGTGGTTAGGGTTTCGGGTTTTTGTTGTTGGGGGGGGTTCGGGTTTAGGGGTTTAGGGTTTTAGGGTTTAGGGGTTTAGGGTTTTAGGGTTTAGAGGGTTTAGGGTTTCGGGTTTAGGGCTTAGCAGTCTTCAGGGATCTGTTTGTTGTTGGGGTTCAGGGTTCAGGGTCTTCAGGGATCTGCGAGGGGGTTCGTCATGCCGTTGTTGTCTGCCATCTCCATCTGCAGTCGCCGATTCCCCCAACCCCTAAACCCTAGGCCCAAACCCCCAAACCCTAAACCCCAAACCCGTGAACCATTAATCCTAATCTTACTTCCCCAATAAGCCAGGGAAATAAAATGTTAAACTTTCAGATTACTAATAAAATATATAATCCCAAAAAGTTTAAAGGTTCGGTATTGGAGAACTGAGTAATTCGGTTGATGATATAAATCCTGCATTACCCAAAATAAGGAATATACCATAGTTCCCATAGTTTAGGGTACTTAAAGTAATGCAGGATTTCTATCATCAACCGTTAGACCCTAACACCCAGAACAACCCGAAAATCTCCCCATGCCTGCAGCATGCGATGGAACCCTACGCCCCAAGTGGGAAGTTCCGAAAATTGGGGGGGGGGGGTACTTTTGAAGAGATCCACCATTAAGGGTTCTTTAAGGGTTCCTATAGGGTCTAGGGTTTAGGGGAGTTTCTGAAAATTAGGGCGTATCTTAGTTGGGGTCCCTACTGTTTAGGGCACTATGTTAGGGCCCCTATTTTCGGAAGCAAGTTCTCGTAGTCGTCCCGAGGGAGTCGGGATTTGGCGTACACCTTCAGGGCGTATGTCACCTGCTCGAGACTGGCATGGTATTGTTCCACCAGTCCTTTGAGCTCGGCCTTCATCTCGGAGTCGTGCGCGGCTATGGTCTTCCAGAAGCCTGACAACCGAGCTTGGTTGGGCCACTGTGGGTATTGACCTTCCTCGTACGCCTGCCAGCCGTTGACATCGAGGATGACAAGTTCGGGTAGTAACTCAGACCCGGGTCTGAGGTACCGGAGCCCGAGATTACCTCTGCCGACATCCTTGATGCAGAGGATTTTGGCTACTAAAGCTACGCTAAACATAGCCTGGATCACCAGGAGGTCACTAAGTTATCTCCCATGTGGTTGTTCAGACTCCGAGCCGTAAAACACATGCGGTGCCCGAAAGCCTAAATTGCTGAACCCCGCTCGTCAATAACAATTTCTGAGTTCTGAAGCCTAAGCCGCCCCACATATGGGTAGTTGTCAAAATTAGGATCCCTTTTGGGGTACCCACATGTGTAGACGAGATAGATAGATAGATAGATAGATAGGCAGACAGAAACACGGGCAGACAGACAAACAGATAGATAGAAAAGGTTATGGATTGAAAATAAGATAGGTACAGACAGATTGACAGATAGATATACGTGGTATATGTAAATGCGCAGTTCTCTCAATTAGGGCTGTCGTTTCTACACTGTAGGTCCGAACAACAGTACGGCCCCCTCACAAACAGAATCCGAAGAGGGACCCTAATGTAGAGAACTACCCAGACATGTACGGGTTAGTTTAGGATTTGCCCGAAACCCTAAACCCTACACCCTAAACCCCAAACCCTGAACCCTACACCCCAAACCCGAAACCCTGATTCAGCCTATATTTACCTTGGGTACGGCCCCCACTTAGTAATAGTTGAACAATATTCATAATATAGATATATTAAGACCTTTATAGGAGCCCTATTATAGACTCTTACTGCGAGGGGGGGAGTACCTAACCTATACCCCAAACCCTGAACCGTTGCACCCGCCTGCGGGTGCATCGCGAGAAGCCATCCATCCGAGACAGCCTCGAGGAGCCCGCGCCTTGTCCATCCTGCACCCGAGACCCTAGAGGTTTAGGGTTCAGGGTTTAAGGTTTTTGAGGATTTAGGGTTGAGGGTTAATTCGGGTTTAGGGTTAATTAGGTACTTAGATTTCTGAAAGTAGTTGTGCAGGCAACTGTTTGGGAACATACATTGTTATTAGGTACTTGGACCCTTAGGGACACACACAAAATCCAAAGGGAGAAGGGGATTTCGTTGAAGGGTAACCTTTAAGAGGTTGATAGGTTAAGGCTTAGATTACGAATCTTCAGGGTGTTGGGTTAAGGTGTCTAGGATGTTTTAGGGAGTTAGTTGGGTTTAGGAGTTAGTGAATCTGGTTCCTGGGGTTTTAAATGAGGACTCGCTGTGGTTTTCAGGGTTCCTTTTAGGGCTCCCTTAAAGGATTTCTATCAGTGGTCCTTTAAGGGATTCGGGTTAAGGGTTGGGGTTCGGGGCTTCTAGGGATTCTGGCCTGCAAAGATGAACAAAGAACACCCGAAAAGATACCCCAACATGTCTATGGGCCTTGGTCATTTCAGTAGGGTCTCGGGGTAGAGACTGGCATAACTACAAAAAGGAACAAAAGTCCTGCCAATTGAGGCTACTATATCATACGCAAATCACTGGGTTGGCCTTTAAACACCCTGAAAAATATTTATACATAGGGTCCCTTATAAACCCAAATAAGGAAAATGAAAAATGTCCCAAAATCCAACCTAGTCATGGGCCAGTCGGCACCTAATATTTAGGGTACCCAAAATGGGACCTTAATTTTGACAGCTACCCATATCATACGCAAATCATGGGCCCTGCTCAATCGCCTCATGCTTTGCCCTCGATCCGATCCTTCAGTGCAACTGTCTGGGAAGTGCAGAGTCATTCCCAGACCGCCGGTAAAAGAAAGGGCTCCTTTAATGCATCTATAAGGGTTACTTCTAGGGGTGCTTGGGGTGATGCTTAGAGGATCGTGGGACTTAGTAATCCAGACCCCCGGGAGGATCCAAAAAGTAGATCCCTTAATGGGGGTTCCTATAAAGTACCCTTAGTAGTATCGGGCCCCAAATTAGGGATTCGACTTTCTGGATCCTCCCGGAATTCTCCCAGGATATCCACAGCACATGGGAGTTTCCGAAAATAGGGGACCCTAAATAGTAGGATCCTTATTATAAGGACCCCTACATAAGGTGCCCCTATTTTCGGAAACTCCCACATCGGTCAACCGACATTTACAAATGGGGGAAGGTTCGGACTCGGAATCTACCAACAACAAAACATGTGGGTGGTTCTCAAAATTAGGGTTCATTTTTTGGGGTCCTTAATATAATACGGCGCCTAATAATTCACAGTACCCAAAAAGGGACCCACATGTGCGAGCTCAAGGTAGAACTGGTGGAGCAGCGCTGTCAAGCGAGAAGGCGGGTCTTGCAATCATGGATGCAGGTTGCGAAAGGCCCTACGGCCCGACTTACAGGATCAGGGGACTTAGTAAGTAAGGTTATAAGTTCTAAGTACATTAATTGGGATTGTAAGTTATAAGTAGAGTTGCCTTACTTATAACCCTAGTTACCATGTCCCATGATCCTGTAAGTATGCTGCTGTTGCTGCAACAGAGAGGAGCTGGAACTGCAAACCCGGGCAAGGCCACGACGTCCGGTCTCAACGCGAGCATTTCCCAAACTTCTCGTACTTGTCAGGGTGACCGACCCTAAGGGTCAATGTACCCAAATAGTATTTACATTGGCCTTAAAGTAGTCCCTATATAGGTACTTTGGGGCCTAAGTATATACTGTGGGTACATGGACCCTTAGGGCGAATGTGCTACGCAGAATGCACAGCTGCATCAATGAGAAGAATAACGACAACAATACTCGTCGGCGTCATCACACCTACGGCCGCGATGGTAGATTTTTGAATAGCGAAGCCGGTGCACAAAAACTAGTGATCAAACGACTTAGCAACAGTGAGTTCAACGTTGCCATAAAGATGCTGCTTTATGGAGATCATAGAAACCTGTGATGTGCAAGAATGGCCCCTGCCCAACATAGTTGGGTGGGGATATTTTCCTATACTTTTCCTTTCGCGGGTACTCTAATCCCTACTTTAGACCAACCTCGACCCCAACAGCCTGAACTCCACAGTGCCCTGGGAAATATCGAGAACCATTAATTAGACCTCTATAAGGCAAGGCACCCTAAGAGTGCCCACCTCCCGATTACCTGCCCATGATTCGTCGTTTCTTGCCATCATGATTGGCAATACCCACGGCCCTGAAGTTTAGGTGTCTTGAATTTTAGGGTTTGGGGTTTGGGGTGGAGGGTTTTAGAGATTCGGTTTTAGAACTTTTGCAGTATGCTTTGCTGCTAGGACGGAGATGAATTCGCAGTACAGCCTAGCCTCATTGCTGATTTATCGCATGGGATGTTCACACAACCCTACTATAGGAGTTTACATCATTACCAATACTGTTGTGTGGGGGGGTTCCTTTATATATGTATAGTATAATGGGCCACGGAACCCTATTCTATTTATTAAGGCCCCTGTATGACACCCTGATGAAACACTCTAGGCAAGCGAGGACCGTGAGGAACTTGAAGTTCACAACTCCACCCCCTAAGAGATGTTCATCGTTTGGCCCGGTAACTTACACAGCAAATTCCTAAACCCAAGACTGACTTAAGGCTTAGGATTTAGGGTTTAGGGCCGCAAGACTTAAGTTAGGGTTCCTCGATATGGTCATATTATGATGTACTCCAGGAAGCTTGTACCAATTTTGAAGCCGCTGCATTACACAGTGCCTCCCAGCCTTTATGCAGCATAACTTTACTGTATACTATACTAAATTATACTATACGAACTATACTATAACACACACCAAACCCCTATAGTCATTATTGAGGCCCCTAGACTAACGGACATCAGTGGGTCAAAGAAGCGAATCAAGCGAACCTGTGGCACTTCGGCCAGGGTCAGAACTTACCTAGGTAGAAGGTTGGTGGTGCGGGGCCCTAAACCCTAAGCCTAAACCCCTAAACCCTAAACCCCTAAACCCTAAACCCCAAACCCCTAAACCCTAAACCCTGAAACCTACACCCTAAACCCTAAACCCTAAACCCTGAACAATTCTTCAAACCCGTGCATCTTTCTCCGACTCACCCGGCCTTCTACCCACAGCGTATGCTCGCTGATGCTTGAGCCTGTCCTCAGATCTTCCCCCTATCGGTCCTAACACTTCGAAGGGGCCCCCCACCCTGTAATAGTGGCTATAAGGATTATATGAAGGCCCTACTATATTCCTATTATACCACTATTACACCCTAAGGGTCCTAACAACTTGGGGGAACCTCCAAATTGAGGGTTTCTGAGACCCCAAGGAGACCCAAGGACTCTCCCTAGGACATTCCGGACCCTCTTAAGGAGATATACCTGGACCCTTAGGGCAGCAATCATGCTTCGAGGATCAGGGGACCTAGTAACTAGGTTATGAGTATATAGGTCGATAGGTGCAGCATCTTGAACCGAGGGACTCGCTAAACCCTAAACCCCCCCTAAAATCCTAAACCCCCCTAAACCCTGAACATCCCCCAACCCCCCCTAAACCCTGAACCCCAAACCCTAAAACCCTAAACCCTACATATTAACCTACTTCCTAAGTCCTCCGATCCTTCAAGGGGCCTTGAATGGTATAACCATTTGATTAAGTGTTGGGGTTACCCTAGTATGATTATAGTAAGGAGCCCTGAAGAAGAATATTGAATATTGGTACTTACTCCAACTTCTGCATTCGCCGCAAGTTGCAACCCGGCCCTAGCCAATAACTCTAGCAGCCGGAGCTGTCTGGGCGCTTCCAAAGCTTGCCGCACCCAAACCCTTCAACCCAGAGACTCCAATCTCCATTGGCTTTAAAGGGATCTATTAAGGGATCTATAGAGGTTTAGGGTTTATAGGGTTTATAGGGTTTGTAGGGTTTGTAGGGTTTGTAGGGCTTACAGGGTTTATAGGGTTTATAGGGTTTAGGGATCTAGGATGCCCAGTAACTTGGGAATAAAAAAGGCTCCCTTTTTGGTAGCTTTATGAGGAACCCAGGAATACAAAAAGGGAATAAGGGTACTACTGGGCATCCTAGTTTATTTAGGTCCTCTAAATCATATTACGGGTCCTACTATAAATAAGGCATAATCCTTGATTAAGGCATATTGGAGCTCGAGGTCAGCCCTTGACGGTGATCGTCGGCCCCTTACTTAGAGGATCATGGGACATTAGTTAGTAGGTTATAACTGGGGTTAGAAGTCCCCCTAAGTGTGGCTATCCTAAACATAACCAACTTATAACCTTCAACTTACTAAGTCCCATGAACCTTCGAGAAGCTTTCAAGCATCAGGAGCCGCAAGCCTGGCTCCCCTAAACCCTAAACCCACCTAAACCCTAAACCCTAAACCCTGATTCCTACCGCTCCAGCACCCTCAGCAGAACTTTTCAAGACTACCCTGCCCTCGGATCCTCTTCCCAGTTTACCCAGAGGCCCCATAGTAGTTCCTTTTTGGGATTACCTTATAGGATTCTATATACGAACCCCCAAAAGGAACTACTTTGGGGCCTTAGGGTAACAGCAGCAGAAAATTCGTCACGCAGCAACTCGATGTTGTGTCGAAGTAGACGAGCGGATCTAGCAGCGGCAGCACGAGACTGTAGCTGGAGCACAGGCAGCGACCGCGCCAAGTTTGACAGTCGGACGCAGCTGTGGCGACGCAACCCCCCAAAGCCCCAAACTATGAGCGCTTCCTAACTTGCTCAATCCCAAAAATACTGGGTCGCAAACCGCAAACCCGCCACACGAACGATAAACAATCCCAACATCAACTGCAATACACACAGCACATACTCTGAAACACACACAACCCCAAGACTAAACCTGCGAAACTCCTACGCCTGAGTTCTAACCCCGACCTCCTAAACCCGTTCGAAAAAGTCAGGACGACAAGCTGGGGGTGATGGCCTGCTCATGTAGACATCATTGATGCAGGGCTGTGAGGCTGTAGGGCTTGCTACGGCTGATGATATAAACCCAGCATTACCCATAGTAAGGCACATAATTACAATAATTGCCACAGCTTAGGGTCCTTAAGGTCATGCAGGATTTGTATCATCAACGGTAGGCTTGACTTGTTGGGCTTTTGCGTTTACGGCGAGCCACAGCCATGTTCGGACAAGACGTAAAGCTCAACGGAAGCCTACGGAAATCTTATGAAACCTATTAACTTCTGGTTCCCCGTAATCCTAAACCCTAAACCCTAGTCCTAAACCCTAAGCCCTAACTAAACTTGAGGTTTAGGTTTGGGCCATTTCAATCCAAGGCGCGACAGCTGCTCGCCGTCTCTGAGCATTCGAAGCCCTTTGATAAGCGCAAGGCCTGGGCTCTTCTTTGTAATATATATATATATATATATATATATATACACACATACATACACTCATGCATACCTCTCTATCTATATACTTGATGAGTATGTCTATATATGTATATATATATATATATATATATATTTCTGAAATATGTATATATATATATATACATGTTTTTAAACATATACATTCATATATATATATATATATATATATATTGTATCTTTTCAATCGGGAGAACAAAGATTTTGGGGTTCACCAGCTACAACTTGTGCTCGGAAGATGTTTCCAGCTCAGACCGTGTCTCAAAACTACGTGCTCCTCCTGAAGTGAACGAATCTCATACAGTAGTTTCCGAACATAGGGGACACCAATATAGCACCCTAAATAGCAGGATCCTTATTATAAGGACTCCAAAATAAGGCACCCCTAATTTTCGAAACTCCCATATAATAGTGAGGCATATAGTATAGGAGCCTTGATAATTCGAATTTGATTTTGGGTAGTATTACAGTATAAGTATGACAAGGAACCCTAGAGAACTATAGCCTATAGCGTTCGAAATTAATCCGGCTTCTATCTTCCAGCCCAAGCAGTCGCGGACATTCCTTCACGCACCTTACAGCTGGTGAGCCTTACGGAAGTAGAAGCCTGAACATGATCGTTTTCGATCCTTCGATTTTTCAACTTTACAGCTCACAGCTCACGACTGCCCAAGCGGAAGAACCTGCAAAAAGTAAAGAAAGGTTGAAAGCAGGCTGGGGAAGCTGGAATCCCGTAAGCCTTCAAGCCGAACCAGAAAGCCTTCAGCCAAGGGTGCTGTGCTTGGCGCCCGATACCAGCCCGACAGATGATCCTGGAGAGTGGATTCCTAAACCCTAAACCTAACTAAACCCTAAACCCTATAAACCCTAAACCCTAACTAAGTTTACGGCCTAAGCCATGGGGTCCATGGATGCCAAGCCCTTAGCGCATTGCGGCTTGGGGTTAAGGATTTGGGAGTTTCCCAAAATTAGGGGTACCTTATTTTTGGGGTCCTGATAATAAGGATCCTATTATTTAGGGTACTATATTGGGGTCCCTTATTTTCGGAAACTCCCATTTGAGCCCAGAAACTCCAAAACCCCCTTAATTTAAGGAATTTAAGGAATATACAATAAATCATAATATAGGAAGCCTCATACGGTTTAAAGTATATTTGTTAATAAAGGGGCTTTGGAGTCTCTGGGAGGTTTAAGGCCTCCGTTTTGGGCCTTCGGATCCGAAGTAGAAGCTGTGACGTGGGAACAGTACCCGGAAGGTCCCAGAGCCTCCAAAACCCCTTAATTAAGGAATACACCTTAAATTATAATAGAATCCCTTATATGATTTAAGGTATGTTCCTTAATTAAGGGGTTTCGGAGGCTCTGGGTACCCGGAAGGTCTACAGAAACAACTATTCTGGACATGGGGCCCAAAAAGACCATCCTTACCAGGGCTTTAGGGACCTACTTGCCTCACAGTAGTCTAGGAGGTGCTTATTTTAAAGCATTTGAAAAATATTAGTAGGTAAGATCCTCTTAAGCCCAATAAGAGCAAACAAAAAATGCCCCACAGCCCTACCTAGTCTATATGGACCCTGAAGATATCCCCATGCCCCAAAAGCAGGCAAATGAGAGCCCCAGCACAAGATCATCCTTGTTGGGTCTTCGGTTTTTCCTACTATAGGGGCCGCAAAAGTCGGAATAGGGCTTGGGGGTAGGCTATGACAATAGTGACTATAGTCCTAGTACAATAGAGAGCTCAATGGGTACAATTTTGGCTCCTTCATGAGGCGTCTGATATAGAAAACCGGAAAAACTACCGATACTATGCGATAGGGCTTGCTATGAACAGTACAGCTTCGAGGGCTTCTTTGCGGGGAATGAAAGGCTTGAAATACCAAGACGTAGAGCCCTAAACCCTGACCTTGGAACGAGGAGATTTTGATGAGGGCTTTAGTGGATGAGGGTTTAGGGTTTAGGGTTGGGCTTGGGTGTACCCCAAGGGGGAGTGTATGATTATTAGGTACTTGGACCCTTGGGGTTAGGGCGTGGGTTCGGTCTTATGGTGGGTTTGAAGGGGTGTTAGGGCTCAGGGCTTGAGGTTTAAGGTGAGGGTCTGTGGGGTTGAATCAAAGGAACTTATGCTTGCGGTTTTGGGCCTGCGGTTTATTTGTCACTGACTCAAGGTTTTAGGGTTTAGCGGTTCAGCGTGGAGGGTCATCCGTGCTAAATGTCGAGGGATGTTGATTTTTACTTTGGGGATTGAGGTTTAATTGCAAGGCTTGGGCGTTGAGGTTTAGGACTGAAGGTTTACGGGTTTCGACTTGGTCTTTGGGCAAATGAGCTCTACCAGTTCGGGTGCTTGGATTTTCTAGAAGCTTTTCAAGCAAGCTCCGTCCGCACTCGCGACAAAGACACGGAAGCTAGCCCACATTAGTAAACCACCCCAAACACCAAAGCACATCGCCAGCACAAGCCTGATGCGCAAGGCGCCCCAAACCCTCTATCCACTTACCACGAGGCCCTGCACACTCTACCCCAGCGCCGTTAGTAAGCCACAACCCCAAACCCTAAACTACAACCTTTACCGTTGCATGAGGGGTGCGGGAGGCCTGCAGCAGACGCACTGAGCATGCGAAGACTGCGACACTCCGGCACCAAAGAGCGATCCATCCTTGTCCGTCCGTGGTGAGAAACTGTGCCATATTAGGCAGCAGGAGAAAAACAATGCACTAGCAGGTGGGCCGGGTTTTCGGCATCCGCCAGTCGCTGCAACAGTTCGGTCCAAGGTCCAAGGGCCAGGTAGCTGTGGGCGTCCATTCAAGCCGGGGCAGGGGGCGGCCTGCCCGAACAATCTGAGATATGTGACATCGGCGATCTCGGTGAATGGTAAGACGTCATGCCCAAGCTGTTGCCCGAGCCGCTTCAGGCTGGCCCGGAAACACTCGACCATCATCCGCAGTGAAAGGTGACGCAGCTTGCGAAGCAAGTAAGTCGCTTTCACAAACCGGCCGGGTTGCGTGCTATCCTCCACCAAGGGCTCGACCTCGCAGTAAGAAACAAAGCTGAGGAGCAGTTCAAGAAAAGAGACCTGATGGTCCTGGTGTGGCGGCACCGGCTGCTGTGGCCAGATGAGGCACTCTAGCCATCGCAAAAGTTTGTCGCCATATTCCTCACCATAAGGCCAGTCGGTCCAAATAACCTCCCAGGTCGCAGGAAGTGAGGAGGCCCCTGAGGGCACTCGCCAATCCCTGATTCCTGAGAGGATCTCTTGAGCACTCTGCGCCTGTGTGGAAGTTTGCTCCTGTAAGGCCAGATGAGCTGCCGCGGTGCGAAGGCGAACTTCTGCCGGGCCAATGGCGAGCACCGCCTGGCAAAATGCTCGGAGATAGCGCATCTCTGTTTCAGTAGCCTCCGCGACCTGGTCGGCAGCGTCCCTGATGTACGTTGGTATATGTTGACAAGCCTCCTTGGCAGCTGCATCTGCCGCTTCGTTGCCGGCGGCCAACCATTGCTCCCAGTGGGAGAGCTCCAGTACTTGTGCGCTGGTTTGGTGAGCCTTGACCTTGTGCACGAAGAAATTCTGGCTTCTCGATATCTCTTGTAGGAGATCAGCATTGCAGCGGGCGGAGATGGAATCCCAGCCATGCACTCGCCAGTCATTCCAAAGGTCAATAGCTACCTGGCAGTCGCTGTAAACATCCACAGAAAGATGTGTGTGCAGCGAGCTCCAATGCTGAGCCCAAGCAATAGCAGCGAGCTCTGCTCGTGGGACTGTTTGAGGGCCGGGCGTGCTTCCTTGTGCCAGAACCGAGAAAGTACTCAAGAGGCGGTCTTTGTCAAGTAGCCGTTTGTGTATGTGCGGTGCATCCTTGGGGCGGTCGGCAGAGAGCACTGCCCACGCCGTCAGCCGGGCCAGGCTGTTTTGCGTATGCAAAGCGCTGGCATCAGTGAAGAGGCAGAGCCGGCGCTGTCCTGGTAGCGGAGCCGGATAGCTTGGCGGCCTAAGCTGTCGGTGGAGCAGCTGCAGCAGGGAAGCCTCGGCAGGCCAGGAAACATATGCAAGGTGCGTCCAATGAGGCCGTTGGACCCGTATCCAGTCGAGGCTTGCCACATGTGCAAGGCGCTGTTCAGCAAGCGCCGGGCAGGAATAAAGTCGGTGGGCCTTTGAGTCGACTGCTTTGCAAAGAGGACAGAACTCTGTATCTTCCCTGGACCAAGTATTGCGCTCAGCGCCGGACATGAAGCCGCCACTGTAGTGGCGCGAGAGGAACTTCTGTTCCCACGGCTTGAACTTCGCGAAGACTTTTTGGGTCAGGTCAGGGCAGGGCACAGGCGCAAAGCGAAGACCATTGCGATGCAGCAACTGGTCATGCACGTTATCAGCCCAAGCAGTAGTGACGGCGCGGCGCACCAGCTTGATGTCAGAACAGTCGATCCGGAAGGTCTGGTGCAGAGGGCCGAAACAGTGGCCGGAGGTCTGGAACGTCCAACCGTTGCGTCGAAGAAGGTTCTGCAGGGCCCCAGCAGGGCCGCACACGGCACGAGCAGAGATTTCAGGACCATTCACCCTGCGCCAAATGGCAAGTGCCACAGACACATCAGTTCGGAAGGCACGTCGCAGCTGGGTCAGGTGATGGCACAAGAGGAACACCTCAGGATCCTGCACACCCGGTGTGAAGCATAGGGCCGCCCACGGGGAAAGAGTCTTATGTTCACCTAAACTACAACCTAAAACCCTAAACCCTAAACCCTAATATAGGGGCCATAATAATTAATTACAATAGGGTTCTGGGGACCATTATACTACAATACGGAACTCACCCAAAATGGTATTGGTAATTATTTAGGCACTTATAACCTTAAATCACTGATTCTACCCTTGTAGTATCCCTTAAAGGAACCCTTTAAGGAACCCTATTGGCAATAGTTTTCGCCCCTATTTTGCAACCCCAACCTAGTTGCTGCGTTCATAAGCCCCCAAAAGTGTATACTTTCTGTTTTATAGTGGGTAATATTACCCCAGCAAAAGTGTGAAGTGTCTCCACAGCTACTCAGCTGTAGAACTCAAAAAGCGACCCTTGAACAAGGAACCCCCAAACCCAAAATCTCGAGGGTTGCGGGGCGGCTACAGCAGCAAACAGAGAGCCCAATACCCCTTGATTAAGGAATATACCTTAAACTATAAGGGGGTTCACATTATGATTTAACCTATATTCATTAATTACGAGGTATTAGAATCCCCTAGACCCTAAACCCTATAGATCCCAAAAGGGATGCCTTACAGGAGCCCTAGGCATAATATTTAATTAAGGGGTATCGGGCTCTTGAGACAGTATTGGTAACTATTTAGGCCCTTATACCCTTAAATCCCCTATGGTACCCTTATAGTATCCCTTAAAGGAACCCCGGCCCCTATATTGAAACCCGAAACTGCAGCCCCTTGAGGCGAGCGTCTTTTCGAGCCAAGCTTTTCGACCGGAACGAAAGACCTCGGCGAGGGCCCTTTCGCTGAACAGTGGGGGGGGCACCGGTTTAAGGTTTGGGGTTTAGGGTTTAGGGGTTCAGGGCTTAGGGTCTAGGGTTGGGGGTTCAGGGTTTGGGATTTAGGGGTTTAGGGTTTAGGGGTTAGGGGTTATAGGGTTTATAGGGTTTAGGTATATGTATACATATATTAGAGAGAGAGAGAGAGGTTTTTGTGCGTACATATGTATAGTATACATATATATATATATATACACATGCACATACATATATAGATATATAGATAGATGGCTAGAAAGATAGGTAGATAAGTAACCGCAAGCAACACGCTGCCACCCGAGAATCTGCTATAAAGCTCAATACAGACCCCGCAAAAACTAGTGCTTTAAAGGTACGTGGAGAAACCCTAAACCCTAACTCAAGCCGTGCAGTGTCAGGTCTAACCTTCGCCGCGCTACTAGGGAGTTAAGGGGTAATGATCTTATTTGGGGTATACCCCCGAAGTCTTTTCTAATTCTTAAGGCCTCTTTACAACAAAAACCGTATAAAGCCCATAAGCCCCTTAAGCCACACCGAACGAGGTATAAAACACGCGAACTTGGCCGTAAAGAACCTTCGTGGGTAGTTGTTTTGTTTATGGCCCCTTTTTGGGCACCCTAAATATTAGGTGCCGTATTATCGTAAGGACCCAAGAGGGGCCATCATTCTCACAACCACCTTCGTAGAACCCTGCGGAGGAACGTCCGAAGTAATGCCCTATTCTAATTCTCACGGCCCCAAGCCTAGACTCCAAACCCCAAACCCAATTACAAAGATGCACATGATGATGCATGTAAGTGTGTATATATATATATGTGTGTACGCATAAAGACATCTGAATACATATATACATATATATATATATATATATATATGGATACACACAAATGTGTGTGTGTGTCTGTATAAATATAGAGATAGATATACACACATATACATAAACAAATACAAACAAACATACATCAGTTACAGACATAGACAAGCATACATACAAATATACATACATACATACATACATACACGCGTACATCCGGGTAGTTTACGCAGACCCCCGGCTAATAAAACCCCCATTCCTCAAGGGCCATACGTTTCAAGACGATCTCTAGTGCATCACACTGCATCCGAAGTGTAGCGCGGGGCATCAATCAAGGGTCTACAGTACCGATCGGGGTGTGGAGACACTCTGCAACTGCCACGGTTGATGATATCAATTTTGCATGACCCATGATAAGGAATATACCATAATTCCCAGAGTTTAAGGTCATAATGGTAATGCAGGATGTATATCATCAACCGCAGTTTGGATGCCTGGAGAGTCGAACGAAACCCTGAAGCCCTAAAGCTGGAACTACGCGGTTTAGGCTTGAAGATCTGAAGGTTTAGGGTTCGGGGTTCAAGGTTTAAGGACTAGAGTTTAGGGTCTAAGGGTATGTTCGATTCTCTACAAAGCAAGCCCGATTAAGTCCGGGAGCTAGTGTTTGGGGTGACTTGTAGTATTCTGGCCCCATCACCTTATGCACTCAAACACGCCGTGACACCGCAGGATCTACGTACATTAAAGCTAATTCAGGCGCCTTAAGTGTTAGAATACAAAATTAGGGTCCGTTTTTGGGGTACCCTAAACAATAGGTGCCGCATCATAATAGGGACCCAAATAGGGACCATAATTTTGATGACCACCCATGTGGACTTAAGGATACCTAAACAGATAAGTCGTACTACTACCTCCGCGTGCGGCCGTCTATTTACGAAAGGGAACCTGTGGTTTGGACATGCAGAAGAGCTTTCACACAACTTTCATGCTACGGTTGATGATATACATCCTGCATTACCGTTATGACCCTAGACTATGCGAATTATGGTGTATATATATATATATATATACACACATATATTCCCTTATTTTGGGTAATGCAGGATTTATATCATCAACCGTACCTCCGGCGGGGGGGGGCCTGTTGGCTTATAGTATATGTTTGTAGGGGCCATAAGGGGATGCCATTGCTACCTACTCAGACCACCATTTAAAGGCTCATGGGACTTAGTAAGCAAGGGTATAAGTACCTTAACGATTTTAATTGGGGGTTCTAAGTTATAAGTATACTTACCTTATACTAAGTCCCATGATCCTTTAAGTACTCAGACCTCCATATGACATCGATGTTCTGCTTGCGCCGAGCAACGAGTCACCCGATTCTGCTTCTTGCGTGTAGGTGCACCTGCCTGTCGATATGATGTACCTCAGATAAGTAGGGCTTTAGGGTTCTGGAGTATAGGGTTTGGGGATCTAGGGGCTTAGGGATTTTGGGTTTAGGGGTTTAGGGGTTTCGGGGTTAGCGATACGGGTCTAGGGTTAGGGGTTTAGGGCTTAGGGTTAAGACTGGATAGGGGTTTAGTTCTTAGGCTTAAGATTGGTTCTAACCCCCAAACCCTGATTCCGCAGACCCAAACCCTCAGGTAATCCTTCTCCTGTTAGATGCCTGAACTATTCAACTCCAAACACCGAGCTTAAAAGCCGATCCCTAAACCGGAACCCATATCGAATATTCTCAAACCCTTTGGGAGCGGTTTGGAAGACAGCGTGCAGGGCCAAGTTATATTCGGGAGAGCATGCTCGCGTTTTGCTTGCCTTTGGTTAGTAGGGAAGGGAGGAAAGGGGTACAATCATAACTACGATTACTACCATTCTTCCATTCACTACTAACCAAAGGTAAGTTTGAGGGCTGAGGTGTCGGGGAGAGTTTTTCCGTCTCAGGGCCTGGGCTAAGGGTTTAGGTTTTAGGGCTTAGGACTTAGGACTTAGGGGTTAGGTCTTAGGGTTTAGGGTTTAGGTTTTAGGGTTTAGGGTTTAGGTTTTAGGGTGATGTAGATGATGTGTTGTTGGGCAAGGTGGGTTGGTGACTCATCAAGTCCTCAGGGTGTATTTGCTGAGGGGCTTCTAAAGGCGTACAACATGTTGATAACGACTGTTTACCATGACTGTATAGGCAGAATGGAAGGTGTTCGAGATTGCGAGTCGAACAGAGAGGAACAAACGTTGGCTTATTAAGGCCTTACTCATGATTCGAATGAATAGGCTTCATCATGACGTCATGCGCTTGACCCGACAGTCCTGCGCCTAAACAGTAACTTCGGCAGTCCGAATTCTATGGCGGTCCTGCTGTCCGCAAAGACTTAACCTCGGCAAAACAAGAACCCTCCTACTACTTCCACGTAGTTCCGGACAGCAGGCTCCCTGCACTCTTAAGGGACCCGTGTTTAGAGCACCACCCAGAGAGCCCAATACCCCTTAATTAAGGAACTTAAAGGAACCCTTATAGATCCCCTGTAAGTTCCCTGAAAGGAGCCCCTGCACCCTAAACACTAAACCCTAAACCCCAAAACCCTACGCCGTTACCGTGTTGAGAACACTACTCCTGAAGCCTCAAGCCATGCGGCATTGCCGTGGAGGCCTCTCCCTGCTTGAAGATCTTGTCCGAAAGAAGCATGTACCTTAAGGGCTTTAGGGCTTTAGGGGTGAGGGGTTAGGGTTTAGGGGTTTAGGGGCTTTAGGGTCCGAAAGAAGCATGTACCTTAAGGGCTTTAGGGGTTTGTGGCTTTAGGCGGTTAGGGGGTTAGGGCTTTAGGGGCTTCGGGTTTAGGGTCCGGAAGAAGCATGTACCTTGGAAAGCTCCCACTTGGAAAGGTTCTTGAAAGGGTTCCTTAAAGGGAACCTTAAAGGTTTCCTTAAAGGGGTCCATAAGGAAAGAAGCATGTTGCGCTTTACGGGTTTAGGGGTTTATGGTTTAGGTTGGGTACTGCCCCCATACAATAACAGTCTATAATAAGGCTACTATTAAGGGCCTAATATATCTATACTATGAATATTATCCAACTGTTGCTGAGAAGGGGCAGTACCCAAGGTTGGGTTTAGGGGGTTTAGGGCTTTAGGGTTGAGGGTTGAGGGAAGCTCCCACTTGGAGGATCAGCGGACTTAGTAGAGTCCTTTAAGGGACCTATAAAGATACTAGAAGGGTTTAGGGTTTGGGGTCTACTTGAAGGATCAGGGGACTTAGTAAGTAAGGTTATAAGCGCCTTAACTTGGGCGATGAGCAGTTATAATAAGAACAGTTAGAGGGTTTAAAACCCTTGTTATTAAGTCCCATGATCCTGGAAGCAGGTATGCCACTGCAGGTTTAACAAGTTTAAAGTTCGGCCATTAGTCGACTCCCAAACCCCTGCATCAGGAATATGCCTCACTAATGGCCTACAAAGCAACAACAACAACCGATAACAACAACAACAACAACAACAACAACAACAACAACAACAACAACAACAACAACAACAACAACAACAACAACAACAACAACAACAGCAACTTACTACTACTACTACTACTGCTACTACTACTACTACTACTACTACTACTACTACTACTACAACTACTACTACTACTACTACTACTACTACTACTACTACTACTACTACTACTACTACTACTACCACTACCAATACCACTACCACTACCACTACTACTACCACTACTACTACCACTACTACTACCACTACTGCTACTACTACTACTACTACTACTACTACTACTACTACTACTACTACTACTACTACTGCTACTACTACTAGTACTACTACTACAGCTTCTGCTCCTGCTCCTGGCCCCAACATCCATTCAAGAGCTTCAACAGTAAACCCTAAACCCTAAACCCCTAAACCCTAAACCCTAACTCTAGGCAAGCGGCTGCTCAGACATGGCCTTGCTACAAAGCTCCAACTCCATCGCAGGGGTTTTCCGGCCTCCGAGTTTTGGACGTTCGGATTCTGGGATGTGGGTAACGTTGGGGCTTCAAAATACAGACAGAGTTTTGGGAGACATATTCGAGTAATAGAGTAGAGGTACAAGAAGGACCGGGTCCCTGAGTGGCCCCTTTCCAGAAAAGGCTACCATATTTCGTACTATTCGGTTTTAACAAAAAGAGGACCCTAAAACACAAAGGGGCGAAAGGGTACTACAAGCACTCAGAAACCTATAGGAACCTCAAGGAACAGTCTAGCTGCCTATCCAGGCTTCAACAGTACATGGCTTAGGTGTGTCGAGCCGGGGGGGGGGTGTCCGCAGCTACTGAGATATCCATGGTTACGATCGATGAGCTTGGGTTTAGGGTGAAATCATTGATATCACGTATACGTAACACTGCGAATCAGGGACTTAGGGTTATGGGGTTTGGGGATTTCCAAAAGGTGTTCTTCGATTCTCCAGAGGCTGGATGGACCCCAGCGAATTGAGCTATCAAGCAGTTTCTGCATCCCCAACACGACACCCCGCCCAAGCTTTCGAAGGTTGAGAAAATCTAAACATTGGGTACGGCCCCCGTACAGCAAGAGTCTATAATAGGGCTACTATTTAAGGTCCTACCATCGCTATTTTTGTGAGTTTTTTTTCAACTATAGCTGACTGGGGGCCGTACCTAATCTAAACACAGCAACCCCAAGCCCGAACCATCATCTCCCCATGAAGTATCAAGTAGCTCCTTCATGCCCGAACCCCAAATCCTTAAAGGGAGCCCCATTATAGAACCCCATAGCATCCTTAAAAGGAACCCTAAACCATCCTTAACCAGACCCATGCTTAATAAACTAGGATACCCAGTAACCTAAGAATAAAAAGGCCTCTCTTTTTGGAATTGGGTAACTTTATAAGGACCCTAGGACTACAAAAAGGGAATAAGGGTACTACTGGGCATCCTAAACTAGACCCAAGAGTAACCTAGGAATAAAAAGGGTGCCCTTTTTTGTTTAAAGGGGATTATAAGGGAACCTGAGCCCTAAAAAGGGAATAAGGGCCTACTCTAGGTCCTAGTAAAGCAGTTCAACCATCCCTAAACCCCCAAAAGGGCCTGAGCTAGCAAAAAGTCTACACCCGAAACCCTTTCCGTTAACCTGAAAAACCCGCTACCTTTGAGCTTGCAGTATCCAAACTGAAACTCCTAAGCTTCCCCATGCCCCGCCCAAGCTGCCAAAGAGTACGGCCCTACTCTCTAGAAACCCCAAATCTCTAAACCCTAAACCCCAAATCTCTAAACCCCAAATCCCTAAACCCTAAACCCCAAGTGCCAAAAAGAAACGCTAAACCCTACACCATTCCCAAAGCCACAACCCAAAGCCATCGACCCACAAGCAGTCGCCTAGGCTATCAAAGAGTTCATGATGCTGCAGCGTCTGGCTGCGAGCTTCGTGGAATAGATCTGAGAGCCTCGGTACGGATTTTCGAGTGTTGGGTTTTGCGTCTTGGAATGGCATCTGAGAGCCTGGGTACCAGGAAATCTCAAGTTGCGTTCGCAAACTTGTTGGGTTGTGGGACTTGCTTTAGCAGGGTACTAGGGTTTCAACAACTTACTAAGTCCCTTGATCCTTTAAGAACCGTAGAACTTTAGGGGCTACCTTAACCCCAAGCCTACCAATTCAAGGATTCAGTTAAGGAAATCAGAATCAGGAACCACAAAACGGTTGGGTGTTGGGATTCAGGGGGGGTTTAGGCTTCTTCCTGCTGGCTATCCTTCAGGCTGAAAGGCTCAAATCTTAAAGCGCTTGTGCCGACAGGACATGCACAGATTGCCTGAATGATGTCAAAAGGTTTTTGGGGCATGACAAACAATACTCATATTTGGGTTGTATGCAAGCGCAACTACAGTTGGCCAAGCATATTTAGTGTTTTAGGGTGGTGTCTTCAAGTGAATTTTAGTATATTGGTACATGGTGTATATTCAAGCATAGTCGACTTGCGAAAATATGACGACTTGGCTTTTCGGGTATGACTGTGTATGGCGCATAGTCTTCTATCGTCATATTTCAGGTACATTCAAGCGTAATTGCATGTGGATGAATATTCAAGTTAGTAAAGCTATGAATGGGGCAATTCAAACATATACATACATGTGTGTATGTATATATATATATATATAGATATACATACGTATTCATGTATATATGGGTGTATATACTGCTTTAGTTCGATTCAGGTATAGTCTTGTATAGTTGTACCTGTGGTCCATTTCGAAATAGACTTAGTTGACCTGCATTCCAATTTAATCTCATGTGCTGTACATTCACGTATACTTCATAATCAGGGCCGCGTCTCTAACCCAGAGCCTCCAAAACCCCTTGATTAGGGAATAGACCTTAAACTATATTAGGGATCCTACTATGATTTCAGGTATATTCCTTAATTAAGGGGTTTTGGAGGCCCAAGCAGAATTTCGGTTCAGGATTTAGGCTTCAGTGGTTTCGGCTCTAGAGGGGGTCTAAGTCTTCGGGACAAGCGGGGCCATAGTATTTCTGTGTCTCATCTGCATTGCTCATTACTTTAAAGCTGTTTCTTGCCAGTTTCCTGCTGTCATTACACCTCGCTAGTGCCGTTTAGGGTGCCTGGCTACACTAAATCACTGTAATATACCTTCAAGCCCTACTTTCCTAATTAGTAAGGCCCCTGAAACTCTTGTCGGTTGGTGCTCCGCTGCACGTGCAGAGCCCGAAACCCTCAACACGAAACTCTAATTCGAATTGCTTGAAGATCATACGAAGGTTCGTCACAGCGATGGAGTACATGGCAGGGTGTACATGGGAGCTTCCGATAATTGGGGGTACCTTATTTGGGGGTTTTAATAATGAGGACCCTACTATTTAGGGTACTAGATTAGGGGCTCCCCCATTTTTCGGAAACTGCCAGATAGACATACAGGAACTCTGTGGAATTCCAGTGTCTAGAGGTCTGAAGCTCTGTGCAAACTCTGGCTGTAGAGTTCGGGAAAACAGAATATGGGTTGGCCTTTAAACACCCTGACAAATATTTACATATAGGGTCCCCTATGAACCCAAATAAGGAAAATAAAAAAATGTCCCGAAATCCAACCTAAGCCTAGGAATGTTCCTCGGATCCTCTTTCCTGGAATTGGGAGTAACCAGTAGTCTGCTCTGATGGCTCGCAACACTCTCCATGCTGCTACAGCAATGGGCATAGTTACCTTCTTACAACTGTTACTGCTGCTGCTACTACTAATTATAGTTACTACTCCTGCTGCTTCGACTCCTGCTGCTGCTACTACTACCACCACTCTCACTACGACTACCACTGCCACTACCACGAAACACTACCACTACCACTACCGCTATCGCTACAGCTGCCGCTCCTGCTATAAGTACTACACACACCTCTACGACTATCAATGGAACTGACCGTATGTGTAGGCATCATTGAACGAGCGGCACTACTGGTGCGAGAAAACCTGGATTTTGTTTACCACTGTTGCTAGTAGTATGACAGAATCATATTCAAACGCGTTTCACTTTCAAAACTCAGACGTACATCTAGGCTCATGAAATTGGCATTGCTGCGTTGCCCTGAACCCTGAACCCCAAGCTCTAAACCCTTAGCCCCAAGCTCTAAACCCTTCCCCCAAAGCTCTATGCCCCGAAATCATAAACCTGAACCCCTAAACCCTGGATCCTAAACCCTAAGCTCTAAAGCCGACGTTCCTGAAGGCAAGGAACATGTCCTGTGGCAGAGTGTTGATCAACTCCTCGGCCGCTTGAAGGCTTAGGGTTCAGTAGTTTGGGGATTTAGAGGTTTAGGACTAAGGGGCTGAGGGGTTGAGGAGGGTGTTTAGGGTTTAGGCTGGTATCCGCAGAGGCCTCATGCTACCTTTGAAAGTCCCCCGGCAATGTGTGCAGATACTGTCATCACGATGTCAACCATCAACTGCCCCAAACGGTACCGCTTGCCAGCCCACCTTGTCATGTTGCTGTGCTGGATTATCACCACTACAGCATGTGCCTAAACGTACTGCTTGCAATGTTCGCCAAGCCTTGGGAACTTGCTTCAGTCTACATCAGCCGGGCTTAATTAACTAATAGGAACCTTATTAAGAAACCTTGGGCTTTTATTAGGGCTCCTTATATGAATCCTAATATATTGGGGTTGCAGGACCAGATATGCTTCTCTTGTACAGCGAAGTGCAGATATTTGCTTTCGACTGTGAGGCTGCAGGCTATACCTGGACCCCAAACAACCTACCTTTTTTGACTGAACCTTGTTGGTGGTGTTCTCCGCAGAGTTCTACCAGGGCTCCAAGTATGCAAATAGTACCTACTTCGGGGTCTGAAGGCTATAAATACGGTTGACGAGATGAATCCTGCATGACCCACAATAAGGAATATACCATAATTCCCATAGTCGATGGTCCTTAAGGTAGTGCGGGATTTAAATCATCAACCGTAGTAGTACCTACTTTGGGCTGTTTGTAGCCCCAGGGCTTCGAATGCTCAAAGCTGCAGTTTCGTTTGCGTGGCTGCAGCAACCCAGGGTGCAACCGCAACCTCAATTGCTACTTAAAGGATCATGGGACTTAGTAACTAGAGTTCTAAGTAAGGTAACTATACAGTAACTACTTGTAAGCCCAACTAAGGTACTTATAACCTTACTTACTAAGTCCCCTGATCCTTTAAGTACTTTCATAGATGCAGAACAGGAAAGCTGACTAACGTCAGGTTCTGACTCGACATGTCGGGGCTTGCGATCTTGTACCAGTAGCTCATGCTAGATGTTAAGCCGGCATGCGACGTCGTCCTTCTAAACCCAAACCCAAAACTTTCCCAAAAACCCATGAGGTTCCGTAGAGCCCATGAATGGCTGGTTGTCAAAATTGTGGTCACTTTTGGGGGTCCTTATTATAATACGGCAACTAATATTTAAGGTGCCGAAGAAAGGGACCCTAATTTTGACAACTACCCGAACGGTTGATGACATAAATCCTGCATTACCGCAAGAACCCTAAACTATGGGAATTATGGTAAATTCCTTGTTCTGAGTCATGCAGGATTTATGTCATCAACCGAATCATGAGTCGTCCTTCCACAGCAACTCACTCGTTTAGCAGTTCAGCCCCCAGCACCGACTCTTAAAGGAGAAAAGGAGGGACACTTAATGGGGACCCCTGCCCTATAATGGGCTATATAATGGGTATATAATGGCTATATTAAGGGTTCATATAATGGGTATATAATGGCTATATTAAGGGTATATACCTGGGGGTCCATATGATGGGTATATAATGGCTATAGTAAGGGTATGTACCTGGGGGTCCATATAATGGGTATATAATGGCTATATTACTGGTATATACCTGGGGGTCCATATAATGGGTATATAATGGCTATATTAAGGGTATATACCCAGGGGTCCTTATTAAGGGTCCCTCCTTTTACCCTTGGAGACTCGGCAAGAAACCCAATTCTCGCTATACCGTCCCGTTCTATGTTTGGAGAGTGCTTAGGGGTTTAGGGCTTTAGGGGTGTAGGTGTTTAGGGGTTTAGGGGTTTAGGGGTTAGGGCTTAGGCCTTAGGGGTTTAGGGTTTAGGGGTTTAGGGGTTTAGGGTTTAGGGGTGTAGGGGTTTAGGGGTTTAGGGGTTTAGGGGCTTAGGGCTTTAGGGGTTTAGGGGTTTACGGCTTAGGGGCTTAGGATTTTAGGGGCTTGGGGGTTTAGGGGTTTAGGGTTCTGGGGTTTAGGGTTTGGGGGGTTTAGGGTTCTGGGGTTTAGGGTTTGGGGGGTTTAGGGTTTAGGGATTCAGTGATTGAGGGGTCTAGGGTTTAGGGATTTAGGGCAATTTAGGGTTTAGGCTCCTGTGTTTGCTTTGGTGTCGAGGTACTTTTACCGGTGAATGGACTTCTTTCTTGGTTTGCAAATATGGCAGATATACGCATCGCCATAAAAATTCTGAACCTATCACAGAGTTGGCAGTTACTCTCAAGAACAAGCATAACCCTGAACAACAGTCCCTAAGGCTCCATCTACTCATATAGTACATACTTAGGCCTTAAAGTACCTATATAGGGACACCTTTAAGTCTTAAGTATCTATTATAAAGGCACTTGGAGCCTTTGGGAATGCTTGCAACCCCAGGCACCAAGTGTGACTGGAGCGTTTTCTTTCGCAGGTGTTCTCGCTCCACGTACCTCGCGAGCCAATGTGCGGGAGGAAGTTGAACGTTTGGGGCTTTGGGCTCAGAGGGTTTAGGGCTTAGGGTTTAGGATTTAGGGTTTAGGGTTTAGGGAGTTTGGAAATTCGGTGGCTTTGCCATGGTCATGTTGTTAGCTGGTCCAGGACTGATGGGCTGCACATTGAGCAACACAGTACGTAAGCTCCAGAGTCAGAACATTCAAAGCCAGTATACTGATCTGCAGGCCGACCAGAGTCTGCCTCAGAGCAAGCCTAAACACAGAAGCTCGTCATGGACCAGACCTCATGTCGGCAAAATCGTGCTCGGGACGTACCACAGCACATCCGGCTGGAATCGCATCAGACCAACCTAACACAAGTTACAGTACTTGAAGACGCACATCAACCCGTCGAGAGCCAGAAGCACCAGTGTCATGACAGCAACAGTACGGATACGGCTGATGATATAAATCCTGCATGACCCATAAAAAGGAATATAGCATAATTCCCAAGGTTTAAGGTCATTAAGGTAATGCAGGATTTATATCATCAACCGTAGCAGCCGCCATACCAGCTACCTGTCTCAGTGGTGCAGACTCGACACTAAACGGTTAATGCATGGCAGTAGGAGCAAGTTTTGCTGCGGCAAACACTTGAGCACTCTGGATGCTGAACCACCAGATGCACCAGTGGCAGTAGAGAGTGACAACCGTTGCAGGGTCTGAAAATCATGAACGGAAGTAATATAGAGGCATTAATAATTAGAATAGGGTTCCGGGGCCCATAATTAATATAATGACAATAAGGAACTCCCAAAAATGATAGAGGTAACTATTCAGGCCCCGTTTTTTTCTCCAAACTGTGAGGCCAAGTCGAAACCAACAACACCGTTGCTTGACTCCTCGGACCAGCTCGCACCTATCCTGGTATAGTTAGTATTAGCATCCGCATATCTATACTATATCTATGTTGTGTAGTGTATATATGGTACATATGTATATATATATATAAGTAGTATATATGTATATACATATAAACCTATATAGGGAGATAGCATATATAGTGTATGTATATAGTGTATGTATATATATATATATGTATATACCCGTACGAAAAGTACCAGCCGTTCCAAATCAATGCGGTTATTCACCACCTCATAAGCCATAAGCCCATCACAAGATTACTGAAACACGAGTGTCATGCGTGTCATCTGACTCACCATGAAGACGAAAATCAAGGGCAGGACCCAAAACGAGACTCTCGCCGAAATGGAGGGCACTAGCAACAACAGCTTTATTCAATTTGCTTTTCATAGTCTGAAATCGGTATGATCTGCGGCCAACAGCGATAGAAGAACCGAGCACAGATAGCCCCGGCGATGCTGACAACCACAGCAAGATGGGAGCGGCAAGAAGCACTTCATTCCCGAACATGGAAAGTTTGCACTCCGAGAAGTTAGCATAAGGAAACGTACACCCTGAACCCTAAGGCCGTCACCCCATGAAGCCCTAAAGCCTATACGAAACCTTGATACACCCCACTCATCTGTCCAGGCCGCCTCTTGATTTTCATCGCATGCGTCGCCGAGATGTAATGGGAGCCGCAATATTCGCCTAAACAAGACATGGGGCGGCTAATGACCAACAACCTTGCACTGCCTTAATGAGCACTTGCCACTGTAAGAAACCCGCACAAGCCGCCGGAGAACAACACAGAATAGACCAGTATAATATAGGGGCCTTAATAACTAGAATAGGGGTATATTCTACTTTAAATAGAATAGGGCACCCCCACGATACTATATACCCTAACCCTAAACCCTAACACCCTTGTCCTTTTAGAAGCAATAGACAGAGCCCTATACCTATATCCCTTCATAGGAATTAGTTAAGAAGGTCTCCTAGCCGGTCTGTTTATTCTTTTGGGAGCACCATGCAATAGGACAAGGCCGAAACCATAAACAACAACCTTCCCTTTTGTTCGCCAAGTTGCGAACCGAGTTCAACATGGCCTTGTGCCGCTGATGCTGACGCTGCACTTCGGCCATGGTGTTCGTGATGCTACCTGAGACATTAAGGTAAAAGCCAGAAAGTTGGAATATGATTATCATAGGGGATCCTACCATTAATCCATATTCCAACTTTTTGGAGTTCTGATGCTACCTGAACGAGACATTACTCCAAGGGTAAAAGGAGGGACCCTTAATAAGGAGCCCTAGGTACCTGAACAGTAGAAATGTAGGGTTTCCATATTAATCAGGAGTTCGTGATGCTACCTGAGACATTAAGGTAGAAGCCAGAAAGTTGGAATATCATTATCGTAACCCCTTTGAGGTATATTTTTAGGGGATCCTACCATTAATCCATATTCCAACTTTTTGGAGTTCCCTTTACGGGAGTAGAAATGTAGGGTTTCCATATTAATGAGGAGTTACTATTATGATTTGGGGAAGTATCCCCCATAACAATACTTCGGACCCTGAGACATTACGGGATTATCGCAAACACCCAAACCCTAAACCCTGAACCCTAAACCTAAAACTCTAAACCCTAAACCTTAAACCCTCAACCCGAAACCGGCAGTACCTCTACAGTGGCTCTTTTCCAGAACTTTAAAGACGAAACCTATGCATCGGTGGTAGCATCATCGTCGCTGCTCAGTACCCAGAGAGCCCAATACTCCTTAATCAAGAAATATAGCTTGTACTATAAGGGGGTCATATTATGATTTAAGCTATATTCCTTAGTTAAGGGTTATTGGGCTCTCTGGGTACCTCTTGTACCTGGTTGCTGAGTTCATAAGCCCTACACTTTCTGTAGGGAATGGAGCCAAACACTGCTTAAGCCCTCCAGGATAGCAGCATAGGCCGCAACCACTATCTTAGTTGCTGAGTTCACAAGCCCCCGAAAAGTGTACACTTCTGCTTTATAGTGGGCAATATTACCCCCCAAAAGTGTAAAGTGTATCCACTCAGCTACTAAGTGTAGAACTCCAGCAGCGACCCTTGAAAAAGGAACCCCCAAACCCAAAATCTTGAGGGTTGCGGGTCGGCTACAGCAGCATTCTCCTCATGCCCCTCAGAGTCCCAACAGCGTGAATAGGGTTTAACGTTGAGGGGCCAGCGCTTCTACTGGCTTCAGAAAAGGTTACAGGCTTTGGGGTTAAGGCTTTTTTGCAGCTCGTGGTTTAAGGGCATGATAAGCGCATTGCCGGGTGCGGCGAGGGCTTGATGGAGTTTCTGGATGGGCTTTATGAAAGCTTCTGCAACAGTGGCTTTATAGGGGCAAGTATGCCTCGCGCACTCCCTTGTTTGCAGCTGCCCCCGTGAACCATGGGACGTTGTGCCTTCCACAATACACATATACACACACACACATATATGTATATACATACATATGTGCGAACAAACTACACAACGCAACCTTGAAACCCTAACACAACAAAATTGACAAATCTGAAACACTTCTACAGAAACCGTCACCCTAACACTGAACCCTAAACCCCAAACCCTCCCTAAACCATATATTATATATTGCAACCCTAAACCCTAAACACAAAGCCCCAAACCCTAAACCCTATAAGCCTAGACCCTAAACGCATAAACTCTAAACCCCAAACCTGTTCGGCCCAGGATGCTGATGAAGATGGTCCCGAAGCACAAGGAACCCAAACACGCGAAGGCCGCTAGGGCCTTCTCCTGCTCTGCTTTGCTCCGTAGGGTTCAGGGTTTAGGGAGGGTTTAGGGTTTACGAAGGTATAATGTGGGAGGTTCATATAGGGATTATAGTACCCCCAAAAGATTAAACGCTACCTAGTCTAGTACTAGGTTTGGGGTTTGCAGAACTTTGGAGCTTGGGGTTTAGGCGGCTTAGGGTTTCGGGTTGAAGGCGGTGTGGGGTTTGCATAATGTTGGAGTTTGGGGCTTAGGGTTAACGCGGCTTAGGGTTTACATAATATGGGGGGGGGGGGGGTACATGGCTAGAACAGGGTTTTTAATTGGGCGGTTTACATCGTTAGACCCCGAACCCTGCACCCTATAGTAAGCTTACAGTACCTTCATAGCACCTTACAAGAACCTTGTCTGTTTGGGAAATACATAACTTTGGAGTTTGCGCTTTAGGGTTTAGGCCGTTTGGGGTTTACATAATGTAGGGATGTTAATAATTAGAACAGGGTATAGCATATGTTACTGCAATTATAGTTAGGAGCCTCAAACCAGTATTGGTAATTATTTCCATCTTATTAACTGCTGGAGTTTAGGGTTTGCGGCTTAGGCGGTTTAGTGTTTGCGCTTTGGGGTCTGTAAGTGTCTCAGTTGTCAGGCTGAGCCTAGAGTGCTAGATGGGTTTGCAGGCTTCAAGACGGGGCTTGCTAACTGCCAGGTTCCCTTTCCAGGGTGATCATGAAGATTTTTGGGGTTTTGGGGTTCAGGGCCTGAGGTACCATGCAGGTTGTGACTGGGCGATCTACTAACGGAGTGTAGCCAGCAGATGCCGGACACCCCTAAACCCCGAAATGTCAAGCACGAACTAAATCATTAACTCCAGTCCAACCCGGACCATAGACCTTTAACCCTACAGTACTGAAGCCATCAATACAAAGACCTATAAACCCCAACACCCTAAACCTTGAAATCCCAAACCCTGAACACCCCAAAATCCCGGAATCCCGAGAAGCCACGGAGCCAAAACCCAGAAGCCTAATCCCTTCACCCAAACCCTGCAGCCCAAAATACCAGAACCCTGATAGGTATCAACCCTCGAAGGTTTTGGGCTTACGGCGTTAAGGCTTTGGGGCTTTCTTTCGAGGGCCCTCTTGGAGTCAGGGCTTTACGTTTTGGGGTTTAGGGCTTTAGGGTTTAGGGTTTGGGGCTTTAGGGTTTAGGGTTTAGAGTTCGGGTTTCGGATGGGTCCTTAGACAAGGATTTTTGGCTATGCTCTGCTAAATTGTAATCATAGTAAGGACCCCACATATTCCTACTATTGCCAACCCTTATAAAACCATTCAACTCCGTATCAACCCTAAACTACGGTGTTTTCACCCTATGAAGCCCCACTCCAAAAGCTCTGTAAAGCCCCAAATCCCCAAACCCTACACCCTAAAAGAAATCCCAGAAAGTTGGAACATGGCTCTGGGATGAGTATTGCTGGGACTCCCTGTGCTTTACCTTAATGAGGGGCACGAGGATAAGCAGGTTCCAACTTTCTGGATTCTACTGCCTAAACCCTAAACCCTAAAACCCTAAACCCTAAACCCCTAAATCCCTAAACCCCTAAACCCTAAACCCCTAAACCCTAAACCCCTAAACCCCTAAATCCCTAAACCCCTAAACCCTGAACTGTAGTTCAGGCCAGGGGGCTGCGTACGTCGCGAGCTCCATGTTCTCCCGCAGCATCGAAGGATGCCTTCGTGGGTTTTTTTTTAAGTGCCGTAGCCCCTTTCTCCGCAGCTGCAAAGTCAGAAGCTTGCTCTGTTCCGAGCTTGCACTACAAAGACCACGAAGGGGTTTAGGGCTCTGGGCTTATCCTAACCCGGAATAGCCTACCTTTTTAAGGACTTACACAAGGAACCTCTATTAAGAAGCACCAAAAGGTAGGTGATTCAGGTTTAGAGTAGGGTTCCTTTAAGCTTACGAGTTTCAGGCTTTAGTGTCTAGGGCTTCTGGACTCGGGATGTCAGGTCTTTAAGGCTTCAGGATTTTTCAAGGTTGAGAGCTTGAGGGTCTTGGAGTATGGGGATTTAGGGCAGGACCCCCCGTGTCGCCCTTGAATAGAGTCCTTATGGCAAGCAGTAGTGGGACTGAAGTGTTACTTGATAGACCTCTTATGGTAACTTGAAGGTGGGTACTTGGAGTACTTTGCAGGGTAGTTGGGGTGTCGAGGAAAGCCGCGAGTTTCAAGCTTCAGGGCTTTAAGGTCGAGAGCTTTAGTGCTTTAAGGTCGAGAGCTTTAGGGCTTTAGGGCTTACGTAGAGGATCATGGGACTTAGTAACTAGAGTTAAAGTAAGGTAAGTATACTTATAACTACTTTTAACCCCATGTATAATTAAGGTACTTATAACCTTACTTACTAAGTCCCCTGATCCTCCAAGTAGGGTGTTGGGCTTCAAAGATTCAGCGACGTTAGAAATCACTAAATGCACGACACCCTCAACGCTGGACCCAATTTAGAACCAAAAATGAACGTGTAGGAACCCGTAACCCAAACCAAAACCTAACTACAAAAACCGAAACGCCAAAAACACCTAAAACCAAACCCCTACAACCCCAAACACCTAAAGCCCAAACACCTAAACCCTGAAGCCTAAACCCTAAAACCCTAACCTTATAAACCCCTGAAAATACCCTTATAGTACCCCTAATTATGCTGGTCTAACCCAAATCCTTTTCAAAACCTTCTAACAAATCACTTTCAAAACCTTTGAAGGGACCCAAAGCCCCTATCCCCACGGGCTGAGCCCCCAAAGGAACCCCATAGAACCCCCTATCCTCAGCCCTAAGCCCTACACCCTAAACCCCCAACTTGCAATCCTGACCCTTAAACCCTCACCCCTAAACCTTAAACCCTCAACCCTCAACCCTAAATCCTAAATCCAAACCTCACTCCTAAACCTTAAACCCTAAACCCTAAAGCCTGAACCGTAAAAGCGAAACCCTCAACCCTAAACCCTAACTCCTAAACCCTCAACTCTCAAACCTAAACCCTCAACCCTAAATCCTAAACCCTGAACCCTCAACTCTCAATCCTAAACCCTAAACCCTACAGTCCCTAAATCCTAAAACCTCAACTGTCAAAGCTACGCCCTCACAAAGGGGCTAATACAGGGGCCTTAATAGTTCGAACAGGGATTTTAAGGCCCATTACACTCTAATTATAATAAGGAACCGCCCAAACAATAGGTAATGATTAAGGCCCCTACATCATAGCACCCTTATGCGAACACTTCTAGTAGCCATTATAGACCCCTTTTAAAGGAACCCGATCCCAGACCCCCAGGAGGATCCAAAAAGCAGATCCCTTAATGAGGGGCTCCTATAAAGTAGCCTTATGTAGTAGTATAGGGCCCCATAATAGGGGATCTACTTTCTAGACCTATGTAAACCCTAAACCCTAAGTCCTAAACCCCTGAACCCTTAAACCCTAAACGATAAACCCTCAGATCCCTTTAAAGGATCCTCCAAAGGGGGTCTGGGATTCTAACTGTGTAGGCCCCCAGTATCATAGTACCCTTGTGGATCCCTTATAGTAACCCTTATATAGACCCCTTTAAAGGAACCCTATTCTAATTATTAAGGCCCCTATATCAGATTTTAGATTCTATTTCTTTAGGCCCCTGTATTACACCAAGGAGCACTCGCGCGATCGCCCACTCCAGGGATCGCATGTATTGAACCGAAGCGTCCATCAAGTGCAAGCCTGAGACTTGGGGGGCTAGGGCTTCAGGGGTTTAGGGTATAGGTTAGAAGGGGCCGCCACCCTGTAATAGTGACCATAAGGATTGTATAGGAGTAGATTAGGGCCCTATTATACTCCTATTATACCACTATTACAGGGTGGGGGCAGCTTCTAAGGTATAGGGGTTTAGGGTTTCAGGGGTTTAGGGCTTAGGGACTTCAGAGTCTAAGGGGGTTTTGGGCTAAAGGGTTTAGGGATTAGGGGCTTAAGGGTTTAGGGACTTTAGGGTTTAGGGTTTAGGGATTTGGGTTCAGGGTTTAGGGTTTAGGGACCTAAGGGATTAGGGTTTAGCGGGTGGCAAACCTGAGACTGAAGCGTTCTCTGAGTAGAGAGATACTGGGTTCCTTTAAGGGTCGCCTTAAGGGGCTCCTTTCTGGGTACCATAAGGGAGTTTCCGAAAATAGGGGACCCTAATCTAGTACCCTAAATTAGAGGATCCTTATTATAAGGACCCCAAGATAAGGGTACCCCTGTTTTCCGGAAGCTCCCATAAGGGTTCCTTTAAGTGTTTAGGGTGCAAGAGACCAAGGGTCTCTCTCCCCATTAAGCAATAGTTAGAATAGCCTATTCTATTAGGGTGCCTTCAAAGGGTACCTTCAAAAGGGCTACAAAAAGGGCTGGGGGTTCTCTAGGACAGGCTTTAGGGTTTAGGGGCTCTGGGGTTTAGGGACTTTAGGGATTAGGAACTTTAAGGGGTTTAGATTGAAGGCTCCTCTTCCCATTCCTAGCCTTATCCCGAAATCCCTTATGGTACCCTGAAAGCATCCCTTAAGGGAACCTATTGGGAACTATTCCTGGGCTATTCAGTCACCAGGGAGAGAAAAATATACACTGGTATTTCATACTGTCTCCTTTAAAGAAAAAGAAGAAAGTATGGTACTCCAAAGCTCAGGTATGGGTCTAGGGTGTAGGGACTTGGCGATTAAGGGCTTGGGGTTTAGGGACTTGGGGAGCAAGGGCTTGTTGTTTAGGGACTTGGGGAGTAAGGGCTTGGGGTTTAGGGGTTGAGTACTTGAAGCTTTGGGTGAGACTCAGCTTGGAAAAGCACAGAACACCGGCGACAGTGGCACGCTCAACTGGAAATCCGAGACGGCCAGGCACGGACAAATCTGCAAGCATCGACGAATGTGAATTTGCGGGGCTCGTTGTCAACTCCAAGCATCAGTGGGCAGGGTCAATGCCAAAAAGCGCTGCAGTCACAGATGGAAGCAGCGTATGAAGGCTACGACGGAGCAGCAACGAAGACAAGGCGTGATAAAGAAACAAGCACAACGGCTGCAATAGGGACACTCCTTCACTCTCCAGCTCCCACCACTGCCCCAAGAACCGCCTAAGCCCCTAAAACCCTAAACCCTGAACCATCGCCTAGGGCCTAAGCCCTACTTGCAGGCAGGACTCCAGCAACGCTCGCCCACGCCCCGTCTTCCATGCCGATGAGGAACCACCTGGAGCGAACTGCTCAGAAATGGGCTTAGGCCCTAAGGCTCCATGTACCCATATAGTATATACTATAGACCTTAAAGTACCTATATAGGGGGGGCCCCTCTAAGGCCAAAGTATATCTACTATATGGATACCATGGAGCCTTATAAGGAGGGTTTAGGGTTGTGCGCTTTCCGAAGCCAAAAAAGTCGGTGGAGCCCTAGGGTCAACAGAGGAATGCATTAGAAGGTAGGCGCTTCGGGGTTTTGGGATTTCGGGCTTTCGGGTTTTAGGGGGAACGGCTCAAGGTTCAGGGGTTCAGGGGCAGAGGTTTGGGGGTTTGGAAGGGCCCCCACCCTGTAATACGGTTGGTGATATAAATCCTGCATGACCCATAATAAGGAATGTGCCATAATTCCCAGGTTTAGGGTCATTAAGGTAATGCAGGATTTCTATCATCAACCGTAGTGGTAAAATAGGAATCTGGGTTGTAGTTTTGGGGCTCTGAAGAGTATTTATGAATAGGTACCTCTATAGGAACCATAAGGGAAATTAAAAAGTTTCCCAAATTGCCACCTAGGAATATAATAGGACCCTAATATGATCCTTGTAGTCACTATTACAGAGTGGGGGCAGCTTCTAAGGAATGCATAGCACGAAGGGCCATCCCCAGGAGCCCACAGGGGAGTAGGAAAGGAGTCTGGGGACTCCATCAAACTGCTCTAGCGTCTGTACAGCCTTAATCACAGCCCTACCTTAACCCCAAATAACCTACCTTTTTCAGTACTTATAAAAGGAAATCTCATCAGGAAACCCTAAAAAGGTAGGTTGTTTGGGGCCCAGGTATAACTCCTAATTCAAACGCCCTCAACACCTGCAAACGCTACACAGCTAAACACCCCAACCCTGCACCTCCCTCAACCCCCTTCACACGATTGCACAGTGCCTGACAGCCCGAATTCGCGTTCCGTTTAGATACGCGGTTCAGGGTGCAGGCTTTTGGGTTGAGGAGTAGCCGAGTAGCCCCTCTGAAATAGGATATCTACAAGAATCAGAATCGGAGCCGTTCGAAGTCTAACTAGGCCGGTAAAGCCCCAAACCTGACGCCCCTAACACATCTCCCGAAACGCTAAGCCCAAAATCCTAACGTATAAAGAATCCCATCACTCATTATCCTAAGCTCATGATCCAAACTTCTGGGGTTGACAGAAAATGAAGAAACTTCGGGGTGTTATCAGGGGTTGACAAGGCTTTTCTATCAATGTATAGGGTAGTATAGGGGTTCTATGGAGGTCACTTCAATATGTTTGGGGGGGTTATAGGGCAAGGAATCTTGCGGTAGCGGCCTTAATAACTAGAATAGGGTCTTGGGGCCCATTATACTGTAGCTATAATAAGGAATCCCCACAATTCTATAGGTAATGATTTGTTCAGCCTCTGTATTAATTAAGTCTCTATCAGTGCAAGGCACCCGCATGCGAGCACATGAAGCATGTACATGGTGAGGAAGACGAAGCGCCTCGGAGCATCTTCTTTCGCGTATGGCCCGTCTTCTAGTTTTTGAAAGGTTACACAGCTTCAGGATGGAGGTTTGGGTTTAGGATTTAGGGCTAAGGTGTAGCATTTAGGGCTTACAACTTATGTAGGTATTGGTCTTTTCGGGGTCCCACACCGTTCTCGTGCTCAGCGTTGTTGAGATTCAATTATCAGACTCATTGTCAAGTCGGCCTGCGCAACAAAACTGCAAAGCCATACTTTCTGTAATGTGGAGGGAATAACTGGTAATACTATTCCCAAGGGTTCCTGCCTGTAGTTGTGAAAACTATATACCCCAGGCCCCTCTGATGACTATGAAAGCCCCTGTATCACCCTGGAGCCGCTGACGTTTGGGGCTGCGGGAGCATCGACATGGCATTTGAGGGAAAAGGTCGCGCAATAGATGGGCCTTCATAACTGGAATATGTAATTCTGGAGTGGCATGGCATGTTATTCTAGACTCTAGCTATAATCAGGGGCAGTAGGACATAGTCTTGCCAAAACATGGGCGTTTCCGAAATTAGGGGCACCTTACTTTGGGGTCCATATAATAAGGATCCTACCATTTAGGGTACTATTCTACGGTCCCCTATTTTCGGAAAATCCCACATGAGCTTAGACCAGAATGTCTACGAGGTTCCTGTCTTCCTGAGACTTCGCCTCCCACAGCTCCCCTCAGAGCGTAGGCCCTGAACCCTAAACCCTACTTAAAGGATCATGGGACTTAGCAAGTAAGGTTATATGTACCTTTAATTGGTGTTATACGCAGATATAAGTATAGTTTCCTTACTTATAACTTATAACCTTATAGTTGCTAAGTCCCATGATCCTCTAAGTAAGCCCCAAACCTGAACCTGAACCCTAAACCCGGACCCTGCTTCACGTATCAACCGAAAGTACAGTCCTTAACCGCCAAGCCCTCAAGCCGCAATTCAACCCACAAACCCTTAAACCCTGAAACCTAAGCCCTCTCCTCTAAAACCTCGAGCCCCCAGATCCCAAAGCCTAACCACCAAGCTGCCACCTCCCAATCTTCAGAAATTAACCCTAATAACCTGAACCCTAAACACCAAACCCAAAACCTCAGAACCCCTAAAACCCCTAAACCCCTAAACCCGACACCCCTTCAACCCCATATAGATCCCGTTCAGGAACCCGTTAAGGAACCCTGAACCGTAGCTTCCGCTTAGGTGCGCGATGCTAACCGCCAGAAGCACGAAGGCATTGTTTACGCGAGCCTTTAAGTTGCCGATCACCTGCTGCTTTTAGAGCGTCTCCCTAAAAGGGTTTAGGGCTTACCTTAACCCCAACGAACCTACCTTTTTCAGGAGTTATATGAAGAAATCATATTAAGGAACCCAAAAAAGGTGGCTTGTTTGGGGTCCAGGAATGGTTTAGGTACTTTCTTCGGGAGCTGTGGCGACCCTCTCGAGTGCACGCAGCATGCATACTTACAAATGACTTTAGTGCTCACGGAGGCAAATCTACACCGGTGTGCGGACCTGATCTCAAGGACAAAGATCTGTTGTCTGTGTAGGCATCGTATGATGTCCTTTGCGGAAGAATTTTCGTATGACAGGAACTGCAGAACTTGTTCAGCGGATTCGATTGTGGCATTGTTGTGTTTGGCTGATTTGTACAAGCAGGCGCCCACAGCGTCCTCATTGATGAGATCAGACAACTGATCATGGACTGCAGCTCTGTAGTTGCTCGCTTCCTCATGCAGCGATTCGCCAGACTTGACGAAACGCTTGTCTAGCACCTTGCCTGCAACCTTGAAGATGTCGGCATGGCTGCCAGTCGCATCGACCAGTCTGCTGTGAAAACAAAATTCTCCCTGCTTTTCCGCATCCAGAGAGATTCTGTTTCCTAGCTTTTGCGCCAACAAGAAGTTCGGCGCCTCTTTCCCGAAGGTGATAACCACCAGGTCGTCACCTCCGATTATGATGCAGAGCCATCGTTTCCATGACACTGCTGTGATGCCCAACATCTTCATGCTGTTGCGCAGAAAAGTGTCTGGCAGCCCGCTTTGCAGAGCTGCCCAGAAATCTGCAGGCTGGCCACCATGTACAGTTCGTGCGCGCCAACGAGCTGCAACGGGTGCCGCAATGGCAAGATAAGTCATGCGCAATGCTTTTGCCTCCGGGCATATCGCCTTCAGAAGTATACCTTGCAAAATGAGATCGCCACGATGATGTGAGCAGTCAATTTCTTTCAAGTCAACGTCGTAGGCATGCAAGGCTTTGAGAAGTTCTCTTGGGAATCGCTGGAACGTCAAGGGACTTTTGGGTTTAGGGATTAGGGCTTCAGGAGTTTCGGGTTTAGGGGTTTGGGGTTTAGAGTTTCGGGTTTAGGGTTCCTTCAACGGTTCCTTGAAGGGTTCTATAAGGGCTGCGATAAGGGATGTTAGGTGTTAGGGGTTTTTTGGGCCTTCTAAATAGCCCAAAACCCTACGTTTGCAGGCTTACTCATTATGACTCTGCTGTACCGGTAAGGCTGAAGATTTGAAATGCAAGTAGTGCTTCACTGGGGGGAAGGGGGCTGCGTAAGCAGCCGCAAGTACTTGTAGTTGGAGGAGAGGCTGCCACATGCATGGATTGGAAATAAAGGGATCACAGTACCCAAGTGTTGCCTGTAGCCCCAAACCCTACGAAACTGTAGGTTGGGTTACAATCCTGAAAACAGTAGGCTTTGGGATTCTCAGGTGTAGCTCACTAACCATGATCCATCCTGATTTCGTCTGGTGACCGAACTTTAAACTAGCTGAGCCTCCACAACTGCAGTAGCGCTGGATGCACCGGCACTTCCGAAGGCTGAACTGACCAGGCGTCACAAGGGCCCTGAAACCTAGTGAGAAGTGTATGATGAGGGCTAGGACAGGGCCAGGGAAGGGACAAGACTGCGTGCGGGAGAGGGGTTCAAAAACACAAACAGCGAACCCAAACCTTCCAAAATCCCTTAACTCTAAGTTACAGTAGGATCCCGAATTAAATGAGGGATATGCCAAGGTCCGGGATCCCCACATTAGGACCCCAAAAAGCACATAAGCAAAAATAGGGAATATAAACCCCATCATAATATGAAGCCCAAGTAAGGTAGGGATATCCCTATAAAATGCTTATGCTGATGTCCTTTTGGGGTCCTTAACCAATCGCCCCTACCAGGATGCCTTGAGAAGTTTCACCACGCGCAGGAGCCGCAAGAAGCGCAGCAAGCGCAGCACGCGACTGCCGCCTTGGGAGCAAAAACTGCAACTCATCGGTTGAGGGTTTAGGGTTTAGGGGGTTTAGGGGTTAGAGGTTTTTGGGGTGTAGGAGTTTGGGGATAAGGGTTTAGGAAGTTCAATGACATCTCCGCTATCAGTTCTGTATCGTTGCAACTGCATTAGCGGATGTCCTTTGGCGGGGCTCTTCTTACCAAGGCTAGCTTGAGGTCTGATAGGTGCGGTCTACGGGCTTGTGGCGCGAGGGTTCAAAAGACTGCCTGACAAAACTCATGTCTTCGTTGGGTTTTAGGGAATATGGGAGTTTCCGAACTTAGGGGACCCTAACATAGTACCCTGAATAGTAGGATCCTTATAATAAGGAACCCAAAATATGGTGCCCCTAATTTTCGAAAACTCCCATATGGCATTGGGGGCTCTGTCAATGAGGGATAAATGTAATGATGCTTCGCGTTTTTCTGAGTACTCTGCTCCCCCTGCATGCCCAAACTTCTCCGTTGCCTGGATGCTCTGGGACTTCGGTTGCAGGGGCTTAGCTCAGAGCTTGGGATGTGTAAGTGGTTGGTGGTTAAGGGTTTAAGAGTTTTTGTTTAGAGTTGAAGTTGAAGTATGAAGGGGATTTAGAGCTTATGAGGCTTAAGGTTTACAGCGCGCAAGGTTTGGCGCTTTGGCTGTGCAAGCCTGCTTTTTCTAGACTTAAGGCTTACAGCGCGCACAAGCTTTGGGGCTTAGGCTGTATAAGCCTGCTTTCTGCTTTAAGTCGTGGTTTTCAGGGTGCTTTGCTCGAAAAGGACTTTAGAGTTCCGGTTACATTCCGTGTAGGTTTTGAGTCAACAACCCAAAGGGTCCTATGTACTGTTATGGGGGATACTTCCCTGGATCCTAATAGTAATTCCCAATATGGAAACGCTACAGTCTACAAAACAGGTACATAGGACCCTTTGGGCAACAGTTCAGCATCTAAACCCTCTACACCCTAAACCCCAGGGTGCAAGTAGGGTTCCCGTTCGGCAGAGGAGCGCATAGCCCGAGCCATGCCGAGGCTGTTCCTGGGTGGTTTCTCGCTTTGGGTTGGGGCCTGAACATAGTATGATACTATACTGCAAGATAGTACATATATATATATATATATGTATATGTAGAACATAACTGAAAGAAGGCTTTGGGGTATATTATAGTGGGGATTACTGATTTTGGGTTTGACGTAGCGCGAACAGGACTACAAGAAAGCCCTCTTTCAGAATGGATGCCTGTCCTCGTCCTGGTCGGGCTTAGGGTATTTTGACTTGTGGCTCACCGCAACGTCTCTGGTTTCAGCCTCGTGATGAACGATGTCGGCTTTGGTCTTTCTATAGGGCCCCAAAAAAGCACATAAGCAAAAATACGGCTAGGGATATCCCATATAAACCCCTTAATAATATGCTTATGCTTATGTGCTTTTTGGGTCCCCGATTATAGGGTTTACCAAACACAGGCGGAAACTGATTCAGCTATTCTTTCCCAGACCCACGGGAGGATCTAGAAAGTAGATCCCCTAATTTGGGGCCCTATACTACTAAGGGTACTTTATAGGAACCCCCATTGAGGGATCTACTTTTTGGGTCCTCCCGGGGGTCTGGGTTCAGTGATACCAATTCTGGATGCGGTGCCGGGTTCAAGCTCACAGACTTTAGAGTGCCGAACTCGGGTCCGAATGAAACCCTGGAACCCCTAAACCCTGAATCTCTGACCCCTAAACCCTAAATACTTAACAATACACTGGTAGAACCCTTGCAGAACCCGAACCCCAAGCAGTACCCTTATAGAACACTATAGAACCCTTCAAGAACCCACTAAAGGAACCTTGAGACCTGCACCCTAACGCTTCTAGAACCCTTCAAAGCAGACCTAAGCCTAAATAGCACCATGGCAGAACCACTAGAGCCCTTTTTCCAGGAAAAAAAAACAAAACCCTAAACCCTTTTCCCTAAACCCCTAAGTAGTACCCTTACAGAGCCCCTTTTTCAGGAACCCTAGGTCCACTTGCATCCAGGGAGCTTCGACACCGTGTCGCTCCCCGAAGCCACTGCGGTGGAGGAGCCCACATCAGGACCCGCAGTCGCAGTAAGCACGGCGATGTCCTTGTTGGTCCCAATAAGCCAGGGAACTAAAAGGTTAAGGTTAGGGGTTTAGGGTTTATGTCTTTTTAGGGCCCTCATTATGAGCCCATTAAGGCAGGGTTGGGACCAACAAAGGGAACTCCAGAAAGTTGGAATATGGTTTCAGGGTAGGATACCCTATAATTTACCATACAGGGTTTAGGATAATCATATTCCAACTTTCCGGCTTTTACTATAAGCCAGGGAAATAAAAGGTTAAACTTTCAGATTACTACTAAAATATATAATCCCAAACAGTTTAAAGTTTAAAGGTTGGGTATTGGAGAACTGAATCCTTTTTGGTCCCAATAACAGGCTGGGGGGTGGGGGGGGGCTAGGGTTTCGCGTTTAGGGGTGATGGGGTTGGGAGGCAACAGCGATTTAGGATTTAGGGTTTAGGGCTGAGGGGGGTTGGAGGGTTTACCTGGACCTATAGAACAATAGCCTTTTGGAGGCGTTGGATCATTCTTTTGCCTGCAGCGGGGAGTTTGGGGGGGGGTTGGGTTTAAGGTTTAGGGCTTAAGCTTTGGCAGGTTGTTTGAGTGTGAGTTGGTTTGTTCGTTGAGGGGTTATAGGCTAAGGGGGTTAAGGGGATAAAGAGGGTTTAGGGGCTCAAGAATTGGTGTAGACATGATCTTGCCTTTCCAGGTGTAAATTCAAGTTTAGGCCATAGCTCAACCTATCTTATCCTAACTGTTAACTCATAATACTTAGGGTTTAAGCTGGGACTGCACAAACAAACAGGTTCTACGTTTTTTCAGGTAGAGGTACGAAGGTGGGGCTTTCTTGGACCCTGAATGACACCACCACCAACTCCAATACCACCGACACCACCACCACCACCGCCACCACCGCCACCACCGCCACCACCGCCACCACCGCCACCACCACCAACAACAACAACAGGACCAACAACAGCAACAACAACAACAACAACAGCAGCAGCAGCAGCAGTAGCAGCAGCAGCAGCAGCAAAAACAACACCAGCAAAAACAACAGCAACAACAACACCAACACCAACACCCACACCAGCAGCAGCAAAACAACAACAACAACAGCAACAACAAAAACAACAACCAGAACAGCAGCAACAGCAACAAAAGCAGCAAAGGCAACAGCAAACACCACCAACAACATGACCAACACCAACACCGGCAACAGCAACAGCATGGCAGTGCTGATGTCGCAGCAAACCCAATGTCAGCATGACCTTGGTCATTTGTATATCGTCCAGCGGCAGGGATGAGAATGAGGATGTCGATAAGCAGCCAAGAGCTCAAATACCTCAGAAACAAGCCGCCGCTAAACCCTGAATCCCCAAACCGTGAACACTCGACTTTTGGACCATCTGGAAGCGAAGCCTCCTACAAAAAGGCACTGATCGGACAAAGACAAAACCACAAGTACTTGGAGTTCTGAGTATATATCTGTCTAGTTACCTTGCTTATAACCGATTCCAACACTCTCTGAAGCCCTGCAGCCATGCAGGCTATAGTTGTTTCAGGTAGTATGCTGGGCTTTTTAAGTAACCAGGGAGAAAAAAGTATGCAGGTTTGTTTCATAATGGTTCCTTTCAGAAACGCGTAGTAAAGTATGGTAATCCAAAGCTCAGAGAGGGGCCTGCAAGAAATAGAGTAGGGTTTGGGGCGATGTTATGCTACAAACAATTATGAAGAAAGCCCTGAGGATTAGCATTGCCAACCTATTCAGGCTTCTATATTGCATACTGGACCATGGAGATCACGGTTGTAAACCCTAAACCCTAAACCCCTCGCTTCAGGTAGCACCAGGTTGGGTTTACCCGCTTTCCCGGGATGCTGATGGGAGGCCAAAAAAGGGGTCTAAGATTCTTGGGGTAGAGATTCCTTAGTTCGTTAACATGAACCCTATTATGGGAACCCTGATCCCTACTAAACCCCCATAGGTGACAACCCCTTTTGGCCTCCTATGATACCCTTATAGATCCCTTTAAAGGAACCCTAGGGATCCCTAAACCCCCATAGGCTAAAACCCCTTTTGGCCTCCTATGAGATGCGTTTGGCCTGGCTTCGGGCCACCCTGTCGTCTCCTTGTAGGTTCCTTTTCTTGCTTAACCAATGGTACGTTCAGAATCCTTTAACGTGCCCACCAAAAACGAACTACAACGGTTTGCCCTAAACCCTAAACCCTATAAACCCTCAACCCTGAACCCTAAACTACAACGGTTTGGGGTTTAGGGTTTAGGGAGACGATGGGAAAGGTGCAGTGCTTCCCACTTTAAGCCACATGCGGATTCGTAACTGTGTTAACGCTAAGTTGCGGGTTGCGGTCTTTCGCGGGGTCTTCTGGGAAGCATATAGAGCGAGCGTGGGTATCGGGCTGAAGAATCGCAACTTTGGGATCACACATACTTGAACCCTAAGCCCTCACCGCCGAAAAACAACAGTTTTAGGACTTCAAACCTTCAACCATATTGCGATCATGGTTAATATAGGGGCCTTGATAACTAGAATCATGTTTTGGGTGGTATTAATTATACCACAATTATAATAAGGGGCCCCAATATAGTATAAGCAATTACTTCGGCCCTTCTATCCCTATAACCCTTATACAACCCTTAAAGGAACCTGTTGGTAATTATTAAGGCCCCTCTATCCCTAAATCCCTTATAGTTACCCTTAAAGGAACCCATTGGTATTCATTGAGGCCCCTGGGACTTAGTTAGTAAGTAAGGTTAATAGTAGGTTACAATTAAGATAACCCCACTTAGGGCCTCTTATAACCCCAGTTATAACTTATTTACTAAGTCGCATGATCCTTTCAGTCCTAAATCCCTTATAGTACCCTTATAGTATACCTTAAAGGAGCCCTTTAAAGGAGCCCTAGGCCCCTAGATCATCTTACCTAAAGGCGAAGAAAGGCCCCTTTTCTTACCCTCTGCTTGGAGGGTCGGGGGACTTAGTAAGTAGGTAGTAAGTAGACTTATAAGTACCCTAAAAGGGGGCGCTAATTGGGGCTATGCTACTTATAAGTCCCTAAAATAACCAGTTAATTACTAAGTCCCCCGACCCTCCAAGTGCACTTGGAGGCAAAGGGCCTACGAGCGATGTCTTGAGGACGAGTGAGAAGTCCTGGGTCCGTTGGGTTGGGTTGGTCGGTGTGTAGGCTTTCCTTTTCAAGGGATGGCTCTTAATTACAAGGGTTCCTTGAGTGGTTCCTTTAAGGATCGAAAGGGTTTAGGGTTTGGGGTTTAGGGTTTAGGGTTCGGGGTTTAGGGTGTGTAACAGTATGCGCGCGGTGGGTGCGCGTTTTGTTTCAGGAATAAGGGGCGCACCCACTAATCGCGCGCTTGCGTCAGCATGTAGTCCCGCCCCAACCACCCCAACTATTCTCAATTAGGGTTTAGGGTTCACCCCCCAAACCCCTCTCAAGGGGGGTTTTCTTGCTCTCTGCTTCCTTTCGCGCTCGACTTGTTGTAATTTCTGAAATCATAGCTGAAATGGATTGCTGTCGGGTTGTGGGTCCTCGCGGCCTGTGCCGGCCGCTCGACGAAAAGAAGCGTTTCCAACAAACAACTTGGTTGTCGCGCCCGGAGGAGTAAGCCAGGCCAGGGCATGGCAGGGGCGGGTGGGGCAATTTTTGTCCAGGTCCCTCCTATGGGTCCCTGAACTCTGCTCGCTGGAGGCCCTGGACCCCGTCTGGGGCCCTTTCTGCAAGACCCTGTCCCTAGCCTGGGGCCCCAGACCCTCCTCAAAATCCCCAGACCCCCCAAAAAAAGGACTGAGGAGTTCAGGGTTTAGGGTTTAGGGTTTCGGGTTAGGGGTTTAGGGTTTAGGGTTTAGGGTAGGTTCTGTTTTTTCTTTAAAAAGGGCTCCTCTTCGAACTGCAGAGTGCTCAGGGTTTAGGTTTTCAGATTTGGGGTTCAGGGGTTTAGGGTTCAGGGCTTCGGATCTACGGGAAGTTTGGCGTTCAGGGCTCAGGGGCTCAAAACTGTCAGGTTTAAGGTGCTAGATTAGGGTTTCGAGAACAGGGTACAATGGTAATGTGGATCACGAGTCCGAGCTTTGCATATCAATTAGGGTTTAATTACAGATGTCTGGGCTGAGGTCTGTTCATGTGTCAGGGATGCGGCGAGACTGGAATCGACTCCGAAATGCAAATGATTCTAGCCGCCTCCTGCTATAACCAGAATCTTACTACTACTACTACTACTACTACTACTACTACTACTACTACTACTACTACTACTACTACTACTACTACTACTACTACTACTACTACTAGTACAAACTTGGTCTTAGGGCTTGGGTTTATGGTTTGCGATTGTTCCACGCCTTGGGCCTTGTAGGCTTCTTGACTGTCGATTCGGCTGTTAAAAGCTTAGGGCGCAGGGCTCAAAGCTTCGAACTTCGAGCTTAGGGCTTGAAGTTTAGGATTTAGGGTTTAAGGTTAAGGGTTGAGGGTTGAGGGCCAACAGAATCCTAAATGCTGGCGACAGGAAGCCTTATTGGAGCCTTCGGTCAATTTGAACTGACAAAACGTTGAACTCGGATTTGGGTTCCAGTGTAAGATAAAAGCCAGAAAGTTGGAATATGATTATCCTAAACCCTTTATGGTAAATTATAAGGTATCCTACCCTGAAACCATATTCCAACTTTCTGGAGTTCCCTTTAAGGCTGAGGGCTTGACTTCGAGGGTATATCAAAGACTCGCAACTGCCGCAAGTGTCCTTTAATGATTAGGGTTTTTGAATGCGGTAATTAATAGTAATAATGGTGTTCCATATTTGGGGGAGTACATGATTTCGAACTAGATAGTTGGACACCTGGGCTCAACCCCAAACCCTAAAACCGCGATCCCACAAGACGCCAAACAACTAATGTTGGGAAGCGTCGGCTGTTGACGTACACTGCTGTCATGAAGGTTGCCGGGATGTCGCACAACCAGTACACTGTCACGACGAGTTGCCTGGTTTGAGGGTTTGGTGAGTGGGTGTTAGTGTAGCATTCCGGGGCTTTTGTGGTTTCAAAGGCGTGGAATTGCTTGCTTAAGACTGTTCGATTTTTACAGCTCAGGTTTTTGCCGTTTAGAGATGCAGGATTTGTGCTGTCTCAACGGCTCTGTTGCAAGAATGGGGAAATCATGCCATTTACGATGCCCGAAAATGGCCTCAAATGAGAATAGTGCTAAATCTCGGCCAAACCGAAATGTATCACTACTCACAGCTCCATGGCCAATCGAAGTGTCCTAAACAGAGAAAAACCACAGAATGGAAAAAAATTCACCAACATAGACCACTAAGCCCTAAGAACCTAACACCGAAAACCTAAACCTCAAACCTGGAGCCTCACACCTTAAGCCCCAAAGTACTACTGCGATAGGTTGGGGTTGGGTACTGCCCCCATGAAGTAACAGTCTCTTACAGGCCACTGTAAAGGGCCGTGTATATCTAGATGATAAAGGCAGATCAATGATTCAAGTGTTGCTAAGTTATTGTTAACAGCGGAACGCACGAATCCCTTTTGTACTTGAGCCACGAGGTAGCGTAGGTAAGACATGATGATTAGCATACAAAGAGAATAAAAACACCCCCCGCGCATTGAAGCGCAGCGGAGGAGGCGTATTACTACTCTACGCTACTCTGAGGCAGCACTCGCTTTGCGAGGCTAGAGATCTTGAAACGCAAACTCAAATCACTCCACTAAGCGGGTCAGCAAACCAACCCGTCAGGGCGGTGATGCATGGGCGTGCCGACGCAGAGGCTGGTGAAGATGAACCAGCACGTCAATGCGGTGAGTTGCAGAAAAACGGATCAAAATGCAAGTCGCTGTTGCGTGCGACTCATGCATCTCCTGACACGGTGCCCTCAAGACGCGGAGCACCTTCCGGTGTCGGATGCAATAGGCTAGTATGCCCTATACCATGCTCCATTGGAGTCCTGGCGATACTCCTCCCACCCGCGCAGGAACCAGGCGATTTGCTCAACAGGGTGTTGAACCAAGACCTCCCGGTCGGTGTAAGCGGGAATGACAAAAGGCACCTCAGTGGGCGACAGCTCCTCAAGGTAACGGGCACGGAGGACTCCCCAATACCAAGCATCTGTGCGAGTGCAATTGCGAGGCATTGGTCGGGATGGATCGAATCCGTTCCCGTCTTGGTCAATCCATTCCCTTAGGCGATCAGCTGGGAAGCCTGGGAGAGTGACCGTCAGGTTCTCGAGTTGCTGCTCAATCGCCTCATCACACAGGCGCAGGTGACGCAACCTGTCGTTCGCGGCCTCTTGAAAGTCTCGGCCACCACCATAGTCATGGCGGCGCGGTGAGCGAGTGCGAGCACGCCCTCCGGCGGCTGAGGCAGATGGTTCATCAGTGGATGACCCCGCAGGGGCGGCAATCGGTGCAGGTGCATCACCTACAGCAAAACCTCTAACCTCGCCACGACCGGCAAAATAGCTGTCCCACTCATCAGCAGTGATGTATTCCTCAGGCGCACGAACGGCGTCAGCCTTCGGAACAGCTTTTGCAGCTGGTGGGTGCGGCGGCTGCACTGGCCTGTTAGCACTGGGCTAAGGAGGAGGCGGCGTAATGCTTCGGGCAGATGCCGGCCTTGCCTTCGTCTTTGCAGCTTTTGGAACAGAAGTGCTCGCTGGACGATCCGTAGATGACGAAGCTGCACCGCCAGGTGAGCGACCTCGGCTCGGAGGAGCCGGTGGAGGCCGAACACTGGGTGTTGCTGCGGGCAGCGACGAGTCAGGACCAGTCCTTCCGGATGGTGACGGCGGTGGAGGCGGCACACGCATGGCGCCAATGGGAGTGGCACCATGTCGGACCATTCGGTCTTCCACCTCGCGATTAATCCAGCCGCGGGTACGCTCAACACTGAACCGCGTACCGCCAAGAAGCTCGAGCATCTGTGACCTGCCCATTGTCCCCAGGGATGCTGGGATTTGCAACGGAGTCTGTCCGATTCCAACCTGCACAGTCACCCTTTGCTGATTGCGCTCTTTCTGGGTGAGAGCATACTGTGCGTTGTTGCGGAGCATACCGACTAGGTCGGCCATGATCTCTGGAACAGTACCGGTCACGGTCTGGTACTCGACGCCGTCATGGCGGAGGATGGTGAAAGGACGCACACGGCGTACCTCAGAGGCAATCTGAGTGGCTCGGATCAACACTGCAATCTCGGGGACCAGGTAAAAACGATCCTGGAAACAAAAGTAGCAGTGGCTGGCCAGCTCAAGAAAAATGTTCCTCTGATAGTTGTACTCCCCGCGAATCACATCGTCGACAGGAGGAAAAATGAGGGCAGTGCGTGCATCGGATGTGTGAGATCCTGCAAAGCCTCTCTTTGCCTCCGTCCCCATTCCTGGGGCGGGAAGTCGCAAGCGCGAGAACATCTCGATCTCGTCGAGTGAAGTCACCGTCATCCCCTTGGAAAACACATTGAATGCGCTGAAGGGTTCGTACTTCACGTTCTGGCGCAAGGAGCCATGCGCTCCCTCTGCCGCTTTCGCCACCATTTTCTTGCACTTTACCTTAAGTGTCGCGGCGATGCTCTTCTTCACATCGGCACCCTGACGTGTGTGCTCGTGTGGGCGCGTGTTGATGGCGGCCTTCGGTGCCAAATAGTGGAGGCTGTGATTAGCTCCACCTTGCACGGCTTCCGCCCGCAGATCAGCCAGCTCCGCAATGTGGGAGATGTCGCTCGGGTTGAACAACTTCCGCTGGCAGCGGGGGCAATGAAGATAGCCGTCAAGCATCTGAGACCTGCACCTATCATCAGGGCAACGCAGCTTTGGGAAGCTGACGTTGAGGCACACTGAGTAGTGCTTGCGCTCCACACGCGACGGGCGCTCGGTGGTCAGCCCGATTGGCGAAAAGTAGACCTGGGCATCCAAGGTCCATTCGCACGGAGTTCCCTCCAGCGGACTACCCTGCTCAAAGCAGATGGTACGACCATCGACATGAAACTGCTCAACCTCACGCAAGTGCGAGGGCTTCTCCATGTCCATGAACATACCCAAGAACTCAACCCAGTCCAAATTTTCATTGTGGATCGGGTAACAGAGATCAACGTAATCCATGATGCAATTAGCGTCAGCTTCCGCTGCGCGTTCGATGAGGTCTTGGTTGAAGACCGGCAGGATCTCCTGACGCTTGACATATGCATCACGGGCTTTGGACACCCGAGCTCGCGTGAGCTCGTACGAGCGGTTAAACCATACAGGTTTCCCGGTTCTGCGATCGTAAGCAAACATAAGGTAGCGATTGGACAACCAATCTGGGGTCTGCAGAACATTGTTCTTTGTCAGGAGAATGCGACACCCTTCCAGGCACGCGAGTTGGAGGTCGATAGCGAATTCAACCTCAGCGCCAGGTCGCAGGCCGGCGTTGTTCGGCCTTTCCCACTGAGGGAGGCAAGCCATCATGGTGAAGGCTCTCCCCGTGCTTCCGCCGAGGGTGACACCGCCTGGGATGAGACCGGTGCTAACAATATTGGAAAAATTGCTCCAATACGTTGCATGGTACCCGATCGGATGCATTCTGACCCAGTCGTTGTGGATGTGGCCAGTGACTCCTACAGGAGGACGCGTGTGCATGGTGGGCCGGTAGCCGTCACACAAAGCATAGCTGTCACTGTGCATATCCACAAGATCAGTCTCGTCAGAGATGAGATCGCGGCAGTGCCCCTGGAATGCACGGATTCCATGGATCTCAGTGTGGTCGACGAAGTGGAGGACGCGCAACTCAAAGCGTCCACTGTCATCTTTGTCGCGGTTACCATACTTCACGACTTCCATGACGTCTTCCGACCGGAGACCGCGCCACTGTTTGCCCAATTGCTCTTTGAAGTGATCCCATTCGACCTCCCGCGTTGCGGGGTCGAAGGTCATCATGGGCGGTGGCCGCCGTTGTGCCTGTGACTCTGCACTATTCGCGAAGCCACGAAGGAAAAAGCTCATGGCACTGCTCAATGCTCGCCGCTTGCCATCCGTCATGTAGCGATGGCTTGGGGCAAAATCGGGGATGTCCTCATAGCCCCACCATTCGAAGAATGGCTCGAAATCACCAGCAGCGTCTTCCGACGGCTGAGCGGTGTCGTCAGGATCCAGGTCCATCACGACATCCTCTTCATCGTCAGTCTCGGCTGGCTCCGAGATTCTCCTGTGCTTGGCAGGATCGGGTTTCGACTTGGGTGTCGACCCGATTCGGCGAAGTGCCTGCGAGTACCCGACTGTGCCTTTGGGAAGACTGCGGTCATCTTCCGATGCCGGAACCTCTGGGGGTTCGTCCCACACCGTGGGGATGCCGTCATTGACTTCCCTCTCGATGGCATCGTCATCTGGGATAAGCACATTGGTGGTATTGATGACATCTCGTGCAACCATAAAGGCAAAGTCCTCTTGCGCCTCAGGGTCGACGGCGACAAGGTCGAGAGGCAGCTCTGACCCAACATCACGGCTAAACAGTACATGTTCAACCTGTGTCACCTCTTCGGAGCCTTCCGGCTTGAGTTCAAGATCATCCACCGGCTCAGGCATCATCATTAGAAGAGGGTGGTCGAGAACGATCTGCTCATCCTCTTCCCTGGCTTCCGCCGGGAGCTCAGGTGCACGGTCCAACGGCTCGAGGATGCGCTGACTTGCAGGCGGCACCGTGAGCGTCTTCTCGGCCTTCCCAAGCTCGAAGTGATTGCGAAACACAATACTTCTCTGATTGGCAACGAACTCAGCCTTCCGGCGAGTGATGATTCGGTCGGTGGAAATGGCTCTGATGAGCGCATGCCACCACTGCAATGAAGCAGTCACATTCGGGTCTGTGACCTCGATGTGGAACCCGTCGGGACGCGTGGTCCTCATCAGGAGGCTTGATGGATCAACGACGCAAACGCCTTCACTCTGCATCTGCCGGGCGTACTTGCCCATTTCTTCATCATACTCGTTGGGCAGGTTGTAAAAGCGGCCGTTG